AGATAATATACAACACTTGCTCTCAAAGAGCAATCCAGAGTCTTGTAGGGAGCATAATTCTTTCCTTCAAATTCCTCTTCAGGATTCTAGCTTCAGACCCTTCTACATAGAGTAGAAACAAGTATAATACCTGTGCCTCCTGTGATACAGTGGAAAGAATACCTGGAGTTAGAGAATCTGGGTTCAAGTCTTGCCTCTGTCATCTGTGTTCAGTCATGTCTGACTCTTCATGACTCCATTGTGGGGTTTTCTTGGCAAAGATACTGGAGTGCCTTGTCATTTCTGTCTCCAGTGAATTAAGGCAAACAGAGATTAAGTGACTTACCCGAGGTCACACATCTAGTAAATGTCTGAGGTCAGATTTGAACTCAAGTCTTCCTGACTCCAGACCCAGGGCTCTATTCACTGAGCCACGCAGCTGCCTCATCTGTGTAGCTATGGGCAAATCACTTCACTTTCCTGAGCTTGAGTTTTTCACCTGTGAAATGAGGGCTAGAACAGATGATGGCTAAGGTCTCTTCTGGTTCCAAATGACGACTTAGTGGAAACAAGAGTATTCTAGTTTCTACAGGCAGTCTGTGCTCAGACCACATGTCTGTAGGAAAGGGGAAAACCCTTTTCTCCTGTACTATAGTTGAAGTATGCAGACCCACATTAACTCAGGCCTGTACTCTGCAATAGGCTGCTGGTGGCTCTGCCTGCCTCAAGTCCATCCTCCATTCAGCCACCAAACTGATTTTCATAAAGTTCTGATCCAATGATGTCACCCCCCCCCAAACTTCAGTGACTCTCTATTACTTCCAGGATCAAATATAAAACCCTCTGTTTGGCATTCAAAGCCCCCTCCTACCTTTCCAGTCTTCTTACACTTCGCTCCCTGTCCTATATTCTTTAATCCAGTGACACTGGTTTCCTTACTGTTCCAAGAAGAGCTACCCTACCTCTTGGCTCTGACCTGGAACTCTCTTCCTCTTCAACTTTGTCTATTGACTTTCATGGTTTCCTTTATGTCCCAACTAAAATCCCATCTTTTACCACCCCCTCTTAATTCTAGTGCCTACCCTCTGTTAATTATTTCCTATTTTTCCTTTATAATGCTTGTTTGTATACATTTGTTTGCATGTTTTCTTCCCTTTAGACTGCGAGCTCCTTGAGGGCAAGGACTACCTTTTGCCTCTTCTTGTATCCCAACACTTAACACTGTTCCTGGCACATAGCAGGTGCTTAATAAATGTTTATTGATTAATTGATTGAAGTTCTGTGACTGGTGACCCAAACTACCTTTCCTCTTCTGGACAGCATTGCTGGATGACTGCAGGAGCATGGAATTGTCAGGGACTGTGATTTTCTCTCCTCCTCTTTCTGACTCCCAGTACCATAAGGATGAGTGAGGATATCCATGGTGTTTCTTCTGGAAAATTGTGCTGAATGGGAAATAAAACGCCTTGCAGGGCATGAAGAGACATGGGATTTACTTAACTGAAGAGACATTGAATGGGAGCATTGGACAAGGTCTTGCCCTTTCCCTTCTGTGGGTTCCTTCCCATTGTTCCCTCATTTTGTATTTTCTTTAAAACTTCCCAGCAATGCTGAGGCTTGAGTCTGAATGAAAAACAAGGTAATACAAAAGTCAACATGACAACAATAACCAAGTCACTGCCATGGAATATCAAAAGGTTTGGGACTGCAGTTAGACTACTAAGGGTGCTGTGAGTGAATGAGCAATTCCTGAGTTTAGCACTGTTTTATTTTGTGATCTTAGGAAATGTTTGCTTAAACCTTATGAGATGATTGTTTACTTCTTTAAATTTTAGCTATTGACACATAGGTAAGAAGTTTTTTTGGTCGGGTTATAAGATCTTAAGGATGATTCCCTCATTTTATAGATGAAGAAACCGAGACCCAGAGAAGTTGTGACATTCGCAAGTTCTCATAACTAGAAAGTAAAAGAACCACGACCTGAGTCTAAAATAATTTATTTTGCATGACTATATATATATTTATAATGGGTTTTGTTTTTCTTGTCTTCTCAATGGATGGAGGTAGGGAATGGGATAGGAAGAGAATTCAGGCCTGAAAATAAAATTGAATTTAAAACAAAAAGGAGCCTTTGAAAAAGCAGAATTGTTATGAGCACCTAATCAGAATTGGAGCTGTCCAGCCCCTTCATTTTATAGATGATGAAATTGATTCCTAGAGAAATTAAGCATCTTGGCCAAGGTAGTAATATTAAGTAATATTTGAACCCGTGTACTCTGATTCTAAGTGTTTCTCTCTTTCTACTACCTTAATCACTGCCTTTTGAACAAAGGAAATTTTCAACTGTAAGTTCAGAAGACCATTATATTCATTCAGAAGGTAGGATGAGCTTGGCCCTCCTTACTCCCTCCCAGGCCAGTTTTCTGTCATTCCAGGCCTGCAGATGTGGTCTGGAAGCTCAGGGTTATGGCATAGTTTCAATTGTTTAAAATCAGGAGAGGGAAAGGCAACACAATAAACCATCACTGCCATTAGCTTTTGATTTATCAGGCCACATGTCCCGCTTGTGCGACGGATGTCATTTACATCAGGCTCGACTGGCTCACGGATGTGAACACGATCAACAGATGGGGGATTTCATGGCCACAAATGGAATAGTTTATCCTCTCATTGTTCTTATGTCAGCAATCACGCCAAATCCATTACCCACCAATGAAAAGATCAGCGTACCCCCCCATTCAGCTGTCAATCGAGCATAGGCTCCATTGAGGAGATTTAGAGTTTTAGGAGGTATTACAAAAATAATAGTGAGCCACATAAAAATTATGTAAGAACAGTTTGAGATGCCCATTCTTAGCTGAGGGATTTAGAAGATTTTAAAACGGAAGGAAGGCCTACCGATTTACTATTTTCTTTAATGTGAAGTGATGCTCTGGAGAATACTGACTTTAATACTGCAAAGTTTTTAGGGTGATGGCTTTATTATCTGGCTATAAAAAAAATCACAGTTATTTCCTCAAATCCGCTGGATTTTGAAAGGAAAGAACATGTCAGATTCATGATGGGATAATCTCCTAATATGTTCCCAACCTAACTAATACCTTGTGGGAAAACTTCCTTAGTGTAAGTAAATATCAGTACCTATGGGATGATTTACAGAAGTTTTCTTATAGGATGGATACATATGTGGTATCTTTATTGTTCTGTAAAAGAAAACTTGTATTTTGGATAGATTCTCAACCTGGTGTCAGGTCATTATCACTACAAGATTCAAAACAATGGACCTTTGGGTTCCATCTTTACCCTTTGACAGGCTCTTAATACAACATTCCAATTTAAGGCTCAGATTTTAGATTTTCAGAGCATCAATTGGAAGACTGGGGACATTGGGTCTGTATCTATATGGACACACACACACACACACACACACACACACACACACACACACATACACATGTTTGCCCTGAAACATACCTGACAAGTGGTCTTCCAGTTTTTGCTTTAAAGATCTCTAGTGAAGAGAGCCCACTACTTCCTAAGGCCAGTTCTCTTTTGGATGGCTCTAATTATCATGAAATTCTTCCTTAAATTAAGCCTAAATTTGTCCCTTTGCAATATCCATTATTACTCCTACTTCTAACCTCTGGGTCCAAACTGAATAAGACTAAAACCTTTTCCGCTGACTTCCCTGATTCTTCTCCTCTCCAGGCTAAACAGCCCTAGTTCTGTCACCCTGTTTCATAAGGCATGATCTGGAAGCCCTTCACCTTCCTGAATAAAAAGCATTTATGGAACACTTAAACTCTGCTCACTTAAACTGTGCTCAAAACTGGGATAAATATACATTAAAATTCAGACAGGGCCTATTTTCCAAGTGCTTAAATTCTAATGGGAGGAAACAATACATACAGAGGAATTGCTGACCAGGAAAAGATGTTTTGCTCAAAGGGATAATGAGTGTAACAAGAGGGCAGTCAATTGATATGTCCTTTCCTTAGGCAATGGCAGAGTTGATTTGATTATAGTTCTCAGAGCAAGATGTACAAAGGACAATTGGAGATGGGGGGTGGGGTGGAGAGGTTGCATGTGGCAGTAAGGTGGAAAATGGCTGGAATAAAGATGAGAACATACGGTACCAGGGAAAGCAACTTTTTCTATAACATAGTACTCAGAGCTATATACTTGAACCTAACACTATATTTGAGATATGATCCTACTAGGGTGGGTAGAGTGGGGCTATCACCTCCTTGGATCGTATACCTCTCCTGTATTCAATTGTAGGTATTCAATAAAAGTTTCTTGCTTGATTGAATCACTCTTTTATAGAATTTAACATACTATGAAGGTGGCAACCCCTACACATTTTAGTAGATAATCTGCTCTAGCCAAAAAAAAAAATTATCTAGCAACTAACTTTCTGGTGGCAAACCTCTTCAAGACTTAGCTGGTTCTTGGAAAACAGATAGAGGACTGGACCTTTACTTAAAGACTTTCCAGCTTAGTAGGTACTGTCAGCTTTGCTAGTCTTTGAAATATCAGAGTCATTTCCATGCCATGAAGAAGCATCAGAGTAGGGCTGCAGTAGATGGAGATTTGATGCATTTTCTTAAAATGACCTGTTATTGGGTCCAAAAAATCAATTCTGATCAGCTAGTAATCAGCCACAATCTGAGTTTCAGTTATATGCATTGAGAAGGGAAACTATTACTTTTCTTGAAATGGTATTGAGATATTACATGCTCTGTGACAGTTACAAGCGAAGCATAAAACATCTCTGAGAGGGAATCCCTAGAAATGATAAGTCTCCAGATAAACTAATTTTCAGTGGATATTATGTTGATCAAATCAAATCTTAGAGTATTGCAGGGCTTCCTCAATGAGATCCTTGATTATTCAAAAGACATTGGTTTAACAAGAAAAAAACAAATGGAAGAACGATGCTTATTTAGCAGAGCATGACATGTAGTTTGATGGTTAGTTGTTTGAGTGACTTACTTCATTACTACATGTTTCTTGGTTAGGTACTGAAGATGCTCAGAAATGATCAGGAGGTAAAGAACTGGATTGCATCTAGGAAATGGCAAAGTGCTATCAACGATTCCAAGCTGATCCCTAACTCAAAAGCCTGTCATTTCAACATCAAGATTCTCCTGGTGATGCTGTATGTTGGAGAATCATGGAACATCATGAATTCTGAGTGATCAAATTATGGGTGATCCAATGAAAGGTGGAAAGACACATGGTGAGTGCTCATCCCTATCCAAGCTCTGACCACAGGTTACTCCACATTTTCTGTTCTATTGCCCTTGAATTGAATCTGGAAGAAGTCACAGAACTCTACTAATTGAGTCCACTACAAATTTATGTCAGCTGATCTTAGCTGGGCCCCCACTGCTGCAGTCAAGTCTTTTATTGTTTCCTTACTGATTCTCTATCTCATCTCCTACTGTGGCTGTCATAAACTTTCTCTCCTCTTCTCAGCATACCCACATCACCCTCTTTATCTGTCATCTCTCTTAGCAGAGGATGTCATTTTGTACTTCATTGAGAAAACTGAGGCCATCTCTTTCGATCTCTCCTCCCTATTTCCAAACTTCAGATCACCTCAGCATCATTTTCCGTCCTCTCATCTTTTCCTTCATCTTGGATGATGACTTCTCCTTGCCATTTTCAGTCACTCTACTTGTGCCTCTAGGCACCATACCTTTTCAATCATTCTCTCTTTCTCCCTAGTCAAACAGATTCATTGTCTTATGCTTCCTTCAGTTAAGGTTGAAAAAGGTTAAAACCAATTTGTAAAAAGACTAAATTTGTAAAAGACTAAAATTGAGTTAGCAAAATCCTACACTTACAAAACTGTAGGGCTACAATTTTTTTTTTGGAATTTCTTTCTTTTTTTTCTTTTTTTAATTAAAAAAAATTTTTTTTTCCATATGCTTTTGAGTTGAAAATTTTTTCTTCCTTTTTCTCCCCCCCCCTTCCCAAGACGGTGCACAATCTGACATAGGCTTTACATTTACATACCCATTAAACATATTTTCACATTAGTGAAGTTGTAAGTAAAAATTAAAACCAATAGGAGGAACCATCAGAAAGATGAAACAAAATTCAACTTAAGGTAAAAATAAGTGAGAGCAATCTGGCTTCCATAGTTCTTTCTTTGGATGTGGACAGCATTTTCCATCCCGAGGCCTCTGGAGATGTCTTAGGTCCTCGTAATGCTGAGAAGGGTTCAGTTTAACATCCTTAGTCATTGCATAACGTGGCTGCTATTGTATACAAAGTCCTCTGGGTTCTGCTCACTTCACTCAGCATCAGACCATATAAGTCTTCCCAGGTTTTTCTGAAGTCAGCCTGTTCATCATTTCTTATAGCACAATAGTATTCCATTACATTCATATACCACAACTTGCTCAGCCATTCCCCCAGTTGATGGGCATCCTCTCAATTTCCAATTCTTTGTGTAGGGCTACATTTTTAAAAAGTCACAATGGGCTAATGGAGGAGAGAAGATTTACATGTCATAAAGATAACAAAAGGTTCAGCATCAGTTAAATTCTTCCACAGATAAAATCTTTTGGGAGGTTTTAAAGATGCTGAATTCCCTTATCCTTTTTTGTTTGTTTGTTTCTTACCTCAGGAATATCAAAAATCTTCCCTTAATATTATCATTTCATGAATCAGATTTTAGCTAGGGGAGATTAATAACATTTCAAACTTAACACTACTATTACTAGCTACTACTACTGTTACTACTACTATTACTATTACTACTAATACTACTGTTGTATTAAAACAACAAAGAGAAAGACTTTAAGAAATACAAATGCAACACAATGTGATCCTGCTGTTTCTTGATTATATGACCACTCCTTCTCAGGGACCTTTGCTAGTTCTTCATCCATGTCACGCTGACTAACCATGAATATCTCTGAATCTTCTTTTCTTCTCTCTCTTGGAGAATGTTGGTTGGTGATCTCATCAGCTCCAATGAGCTCTATTACTATCACTATTCAAATGACTTGTAGATCTATAAACTAGCCCAGGTCTCAATCTTGATCTCTACTTCATCACCAATTCTATTTTGGGCATATTGAACCAGAGGTCCTGTAGACTTCTCAAACTCAACATCTCCAAAACAAAAGTCATTATCTTTCCCCCTAAACTCTGCCTGTTCCCCAACTTCCGTATTACTGTTTAGAGCACCAACAGTGCTCTCTCAACAGTCCCAGTCACCCAGGCTCACGATTTTGGTGTTATCCTCAGCTTCTCCCTTGCAGGCACGCCACATGTTTAATCTTTTTGCCAAGTTTTCTTATTTCTCCCTTCACAACATCTTCTATATTTCCTTTTATCTCTTCTCACTCAGCTACCACCTAGATGCAGGCTCTCATCACCTCACGGCTGGATTATTGCGACAGCCTTCTGGTTGGTCTCCCCACCTCAGATCTCTTCCTACTCCAATCCATCCTCCACATAACTGTTGAAGTGATATTCTTAAGCCACAGACTTGATGATACTATGCCTGTACTGAAAAAGCTTCAATGTTAAGTATGATTTCATTTGATTGGGGCATCCAAGTTTCTCCAGTCATGCCACATACTGTTTTACAGGAAGTGCCTTCTCTCATCTATCTGGTTTACGAAGTTTAGTTTCTATTGTTTCTATAATTTGTCTGTATGAAGCAACAAGACACTCCCTCTTGATTCTGGCTGTACCCCATGCTTGGAATACTCTCCCTTCTCATCTCCACCTCCTGGTTTCCCTAGCTTCCTTTAAGTCCTAGCTAAAATCCTATCTTCTACAGGAAACCTTTCCTGACCTCCCTTAATACTAGTGCCTTCCCTCTGTGATTAAGTAGCTTGTTTGTACATAATTGGTTGCATGCTGTTTCCTCTGTTAGACTCAGCTCAAGGTCCATCTCTTTTAAGAGGCCTTTTCTGGTTCACCTAGTTGTAAGTTAACCTCCTGCCCATAACTTTGTATTTAATTTACATGTGTTTTGTATTTCCTCCTCTATGCACGTGTATTTTTTTCTACAGTAGGATATAAGCTTCTTAAAGGAAGAGCCCATTTTGTTTTAATTTTTGTATCCCTGATACATAGCAGAGTGCCTGGCATGTAATAAATGCTTGTTAAATAGAATTAATAGCTACCATTCATATAGATCTTTAAGGTTTGTAAGCTTTACCAATATTATCTCATTTGATCCTCCTAATCACCCTAGGAAACAGGTGCTATTTTTCTGTTTTACAGATGAAGAAACTGAGACAAACAGCAAGCTAGTAAGAGTCTGAGACTAGAGTTGAATGCAGGTCTTCCTGATTCCCTAGAATGTACCACCTAACTGCTTAATTGAGTCTAATTAAATTGAATTCCTGGCTTCAACTCCAGCATTCTAACCATTGCTTACCACATTGCCTCTGAGGTCTTTTCAGCCTTCAGGATGATGACTCTATGTTCATTAAAATATTCGCTATATATCCTGGTCTTAAAAGCCAGTGGAAATGACAGAAACAGAACTACATTAATCAAATAAAGGAAGGTACTTCCTAGTGTTATGGTATGTGACCTTGTAGCACCAACAAAGGAGAAACTTGCACTCTCCAGCTAGGTCAGGTTATGACTAGCATTGGCTTGAAATCATTATTTTTAGAATTTCTAGTTTACTTTTCTGGCTTTTATTGTACTGCTGTGAAATATGTAAAGTTCAGTCCAAACCACTTGTGCTTCCTTTTGGTGTCACCTCCTGTGTCTGTCTGTGTCAGCTCAGTTGGACTTTACTGATCCTCTCCAGAGGGTTCCCAATTAGAGCTGATGGATCTAATCATGCTGATCACAGGGTCATCCTCCAGAAAGGGAGGCTTTACTTCTCAGGTTGAGGGAAAAAAAAAGTCTTAAAAGTCCCCTGGTCGACAATTGATTTGTAAAAGATTTATCAACCTATGATCTGCCACAAGCCTCTCCTTTATTTTATTCTTAAGAAATGGGATTAGATAAAAACTACCTGATAAAATGATTAGTAGAGTTGTAAACAGATGGTGAGACTACAGAAGCCTCTAGTAAATGTTGGTCACTTCCTTTTATAAAATCTTGATATGTTTTTAGTTTTTCATGGTTACCTTCCATTTCTCTTTCCTCTCTGTTAATCCATGCTCTTTTCCTCTTTTCAGAAGACACATTTACCATTTAAAACATCATTCTAGTTCTGGGTCTGCTTAGTGCTTAGGGCTGATACTTTGTACTCCACTGATGGATGTACACTTGTACCCTGTTTTTGTACCCTGTCATTGTCTCTGGCCTGCCAAGTGCCTAGTCAAGTGTTTGACACATAGTGGGCCCTTGGAAAATGTCACTGAACTAACATGCTAACTCTTAGACCACTAATGCTTATCTTTTTTTGTCACCTGGGATAATCCATTTTGCTGTTAATGTGCAAAGTAGCAAGAGATTAGGGTGTTTTAGGATTAGCAGAGCTGTTTGTGGTCCTGTAATGCTTCCATGGATGTCCTCATGTAGCATGGTATTTGCATATTGTTGCCATGGATCTCTTTTCCAAACCAGATGAAACTGTAGACAGATTGTAATCAACCAAGCAAATTGTGTTGATGAATTTTCAAGTCTGAGATATATTTTAGAAATGCCACTAATATAGTCTCACCTCAAAACTATTCATTCTTTCTTTATCTTACTTCCTCCCTCTATTTTTGTCTCTCTACTTCTTTTTCTCTTTCTGTTTCTTTCTTTTGCTTTCTCTCCAGTTCTCTGGTTTTGTTTCTTTTCCTCTTCACCCTGTTCTGATCCCTAACTCATCTGAACTCCTTATTTTCCTTCTTATTTCTTCCTCAAAAACCTCCTTTTTTCCTCTCTTCCTTTAACTAGCCATAATGGATATGTTTGCTATTTGTTCTACTTATTAAATAAAGCTGTATAATCTTTGCTCTTTTCACTTTAAAAGTACATGAGTTGACTGAGGTATCACCTCACACATGTTAGATTGACAAAGTTGGTAAAAAAAGGAAAATGTCAAATGCTGGAAAGGCTGTGGGAAAACAGGTACATTAATGTGCTATTGGTAGAGCTGTGAACTAGTCCAGCCATTCTGGAGAGTAATTTGGAACTAAGTCCAAAAAGCCATTAAACTTTTGATCCAGTAATACCATTACTAGATCTATACCCCAGAGAGATCAAAGAAAGAGGAAAAGAACCCAAATGTACAAAAATATTTATAGCAGGTCTTTACATGGCAAAGAAACTAGAGAGGGGGGGTGTTCATTAATTGGAGAATGAGCAAAGTTATGGTATATGTATGTAATGGAATATTATGCTGTAAGAAATGATGAAGAGGATGATTTTAGAAACACTGGGAAGATTTGTATGAACTGATGCAAAGTGAAGTGAGCAGAAGCAGGACAATTTATACAATAATAACAATACTGTAAAGATAAACAACTTTGAAAGATGTAGGAACTCTGATCAACAAAATGGAACCAACCACAGTTCCAGAGGATGAACATGTGCATAAATTAAATTTACATATATTACACATGTGCTTTAATGTATACTCTGCATATATATGTATGTGCATATATTTACATATATGTATATATAGGTGATGTATGTGTGAATGACATTAATGTGAGAATTTGTTTTGCTTGACTGTACACATTTGTAATCGGCTTTATTTTTCTTGCTTTCTCAGTAGTTGGGGGAAGGGGAGGTTGGAAGGAGAGAATTCAGAATTGAAAATAAAATGAAATTGAATTTAAAAAAAACAGATGTGTTGAATGTTTTATATTCTTCTAAGGCGAAAATACCTTGTGTATATGGCCCTCAAGTCATTTTCCTCCCCCTCCCCAGAGGATCGATAGCCCCTCAAGTGTTATCATGTATTACCTCCAGGTTTTTTAAAAGTTGCTTACTTATTAGTCCAAGGTCTTCAACTGCTCTAATCCTTGAATGTTTGGAGGACTATTCTGAGCATGATAAGCAGAACAATGCACCGTGGGTTACAGCAATAGTGGCTAACCAATGTCATATCATCCTGAAGAAGAGATGAAATCAAGTAAAACACTGGATATGGCCCCTGCCGTAGAGTTTCGCTCTGCCTCCCTTAAAGATCCAGGAAAAGGTCTACAACTACAGCTATCCTTCAGGTTTCTATGTAGTCATTACATATTAAATATAGAGCATACTGTCAAAATAATAGTCGAAACACATAAAAGCTAGGTTTAAATATAGTTGACAATTAATCAAGGAGCTTTAAAAGATGATAAATAATTCAGGTAAATGGTAGAGTGGAAAACTTTGGAGGATTCCTTCATAAAGTAGCTCCCCAAAAGTTGGAAAGTGAATATCTATGAGCTAATTCAAAAGACTAAAAGCAAACCATTCTTTTTTTTACTTTTGATTAATGGGAAGACTTTTGGGAAAGGATAATGTTTTGTGGACTAAAGTATTATGAAGCACACCACTAACCTTTTATACCAGTGCTATATAAACAAATCATAAACGGAGTGAGGTTAGAACTATAATTTTCTAGTCCCACAGTTTATGCTTCATTAAAAAAATAATATATCCCATTTACCACAATTTCTATTACATTTCTATCTTATCCTTAGGATTCTCTAATCACAGTATTTTATTCAGTTCTGGGCACCACATTTTAGGAAAAACATTGACTGACTGGAGCATTTCCAAAGAGTGAATAACACAGACAGAGAACTGGAGACCATGCCATACAAGAACTGGTTGAAGGATCTGGGAATATTTTAGTTTAGAGAAGAGAAGGACTGGAAAGGATGGACTCTCTAAGTATTTGAAAGACTGTCAAGTGGAATAGGCATGAGACTTGTTATACTTGGCCCCAGAGGTTAGAATTAGGGGCCTGGAGTGGAAGCTGCCAACAGGCAGCTTTACATTAATCAATTAATTCAATCAATAAACATTTATTAAGTGTCTATTATGTGTGAGGCACTGTATTAAGTGATGGATAGACAATTAAAGCCAAAAATAGGATCTCTGCTTTCGAGGAGATCATACTCCAATTGTCTAGACAACATGCAAATAACTATGTATGTATAAAAGACATATGGTGTAAGTGAGAGGTGATTATAGAAGGTAGGCCCTAGGAGTGGAAGGGACCGGCAGAGGCCTCTTATAGGAGGTGGGATTTGAGTTGAGGCTTAAAGCAATCTGGAGAAGCTAGGAGGCAGAGCCGAGGAGGAGCATTTCCTGTATGGGAGACAGCCAATGCAAATAGATTATAGAATAAATGGAAGCCCATTCCACTGAAGCAGCTCATTCCACTTTTAGACAACTCTATCAGGAAGTCTTATGGTTCCTGTCTTCACAACATCCCTTCTATACTGTCCCCTTCTCTTCACTCACATGGCCACCACTGTGATGAAGGGCTTCATCACCTCACACCCAGGATATTGCAATAGCCTGCTGGTTGACCTCTCTGCCTCAGATCTCCACTCCAATTCCAGCTTCCACTCTGTTGTCAAAGAGATTTTGTTTTTGTACCCAGGATCTAGCAGAGTGCCTTCTGGGCTGTAGGGGCACAATAATAATTGGTTTTAATTGGTTGAATTGAATTTGGTTGAATTGGTTTGAATAGAATAATCTTGTGACTCACAAACTTTTTGCCACAGTTGACCCATTCACTTTAAACACAAGTTTTGTGGAACTCCTTCAGTAAAATATGCTTGACGATATTACATACATAAGACCAATTTAAAATTTTAAATTCAATTTGCTTTCTGTAAATGTTTTATAATCGAGACTCATACTATGAAAGCTTACCTTATAAGAGGCTTCCTAGCCATTTTTATTTTCCTATTTAGTGACACCATTAAGCATTTTAGGGAATTGTTTTAGGGATGTCAGATGCCATTAAATATAACTTGCGCAGAAACAGGAAGTTTTTCTGCAGTAATACCTAAAGCTTAATGTTGAATTTGACTGCATTAAGAGAAGCAGAGGGTCCAGAACAAGAGGTTCATCATCTTGCCTGATGAGATGACACCTGTGATATTGCGTTCAGTTCGGGGCACTGCATTTCAAGCAGGACTCTCACATTCTGGATTATGTTCAGAAGAGGGCAACTGGGATGTTGAGGGGACTATATTGTCTCATTACATTTTTTTTTCATTAAAATGAGTTTTGTTTTAAAATTGACTGTTTCTGGGGCAGCTAGGTGGTGCAGTGGATACAGTACCAGCCCTGAAGTCAGGAGGACCTGAGTTCAAATTCGGACTCAGACCTAACACTTGACACTTACTAACTGTGTGACCCTGGGCAAGTCACTTAACCCCAATCGCCTAAAAAAAAATAAAATTGACTGTTTCATTTGCAAGTACCTTAGTAATTCTGTTATAATTTAGATTAAAAAAAAACTTTGGTTACGCAGCATGCATTGCATCAGAAGTAAACCCATATTAGGCATGGTTATTGTTGCCATTATGCTACTTTGGAGAATGTGTTGCTTAAACTAAGTTCATGTGTGTTTGTTTCATTGTTAGGCTCTTGGTCATTAACACTTTGGTTTTCTTTTCTCTTCATACTTTCCTAATTCCACCTAATTATCCATAATGAGTTTCGGTACAAAAGATACCTTTATTAGCCCTTCAGCCCCCAGACTATACAGCAATTATTTGAATGATATAGAAACAAAAGGTATCAATTTAAAAAGCTATCTAAAATCACATGACAGTAATTGATGTTACTGTCTTGCATGTAGTTTCATGATGAAGTTCCATGGCGGATGCTAGCTACTGTGTTGTTCTTAGACAGCATATTTGTGAATAATGAATTTAGTTTTGGGAAAGGCACAGACCAGATAGCCTGAGAGAGCAAACACTCTTAAATCTGTGATGGCGGGGAAAAGTCAGCAGCATCTCTCCCCGCATAGCTCAACTTGGATCTTTAAGAACCACCTTTCTGGGAAAGAGAAATTTGGTCTATCCATTCATTCAAGATGTTAGTGAATCTGTGGAGACTGCCAGCCTGAGGGCCAATTGTGATGTAGATGATTGTCCTCTGGGAGCTATACCAGAGACCTGGGAGCCAATTTACATGGGTAACTGAGCAGCTGTCTGATGCTTATGAGTTTCTGATTCATCAGAGAAGCAGGCAACATTTGAAATGCTGACCCAAAGGTGAAAAACCTCTTTTCTTATGGCCAATCCCCAGACTGAGTCAGTGCCTCATTGGAGTACAGTTTCTATTCTAGACAACCATTAATCTTTCTGAAGGTGAAAAGGTCAGAAAAGCAATTTTCACTCGAAGTGTTTTTTTAATAGCAGAAGTAGTATCTCTGAACTGCTCTTAATGTTTGTGTTTCTTTGTATTGTACCTTCTTCAAAGTTTTATTTGAAGATGACACACTAATTTCATGCCACTGACCATTCATTCCCCTTCTGCCCAACAGCGTCCAGAACCCCCATGACAATTCTGAATACAAGGCTGCTCATAAATGGTATGTTAGCAAGAGATGACAGAGCAGAATGAATTACTTGTTTATTGGAGGATTTAATAATTGAGCTTAATATTGTGGTATTTTGTGAAACACAATAGTGTTTAATGCTTTAAATGTAGAAATATACAAACTATAAAAATCCTTGGATGGATCCTTGGTTTCAGACACGTGGGTATTGCCTTCTTAATGCATTTCACAACTACTTCATGTCGTCTTATATTGTGTGACTTTTACCTGTTTTTTCCTATGAATTCTCCATGGAAGTTCTATTCACTATGGTAAAGGCTTCCTACATATTTAATTTTATTTTCCTTAGCATAATTAACACTGAATCTAACACAAATTACATTCTGATAGTTAAAATGAGAAAAAAAATGTTCCTATCCTTCAACATGAATGAAAGCAGACCAAAACAGGCCCAACGCAGGTAAGGACTCAATTTTAATATAAAATATCTTTTTATTTTAAGGAGAGGTTTGGGAGAAATTACTCTGTGCTTAATTTAATTACATGACATGATAAAATCTGACATGAATAAAATCTTCCACTGACTATTTTTTAGCATGCTAGATCTTCATTTGAAAAATGAAAATAGAAGGAAAGAAAAATGATTAGTTGGCCATGACTTTGTTTAGAGAATAAAAATTTATTGGATTCAAGAGAAGAAACTATAATCTTCACTTCTGTGAATTGGTGACCTTAAATATACCTTGTCCTAAGTGAACTTGATCCATAACATTTCAAATTTATGGAACTGAAAAATATGGAACTCATATTTTACAAAATCTGAAACCTCAAACTTGAGGAATTTTCAAACTAGACTTCTATCTATCATGCATTAAGTAACATTGCCAAAATGTTCTCTGCAAGAGGGAAGTCCTGTTGGGTATTATAAATACCCAAAAGAAGGGGTCAAAATTCTGGGAATGCCAAAGATGGTCAAGGATCTTCCAGAAACAGAATAGATCCTTAATTTGACCTATTCAATTCAATTCAAATTCAAAAATATTTATTTAGCATGAATATGTGGCAGGCAAAGAAAGCTGAGGAGATGTGACTAATGGCAGAGAGGAAATCCATAACTAAGAAAATTATTATATTATGATAAAAATGGTGTAAAGGGAAAAAAAACCAGGGGATATAGTTCTAGGTGGCATTGTATTGTCAGCGCTTCCCCCCCCCTTTTTGGTGAGGCAACTGGGGTTAAGTGACTTACCCAAGGTCACACAGCTAGTTAGTGTCAAATGTCTAAGGTCAGATTTGAACTCAGGTCCTCCTGATTCCAAGGCTGGAGCTCTAACCATTGTGCTACCTAGCTGCCCCTAGTCAATGCATTTTTACCACTCTAGCATGTCTTGGAGCTGGCTACTGTTTGAATTCCAAATTTTCAACTCAGTCTTTTGGGATAATTTTTCCCTAAGAAAATGCAGCTTTCATTTTACAGTGGGAGTCAATGAAAAAACATAGACATAAATTTACAGAAATGGACAATTTTCAAGGAAATTCACTCTCCTACAAAGAGATACCTTACAGAATTTGAGTTGATCCTATATCTCACTCTTGTTGGCTACAGAAGGAATCGACATTTTCATATTCTCAAATGAAAGGAATTAAAATAAGAAATTGTGATTTCCTAAATCTGTTTCTTTAATCCTAACATTTAAATTCTCCTCCATTGATGTGACTGCCAAGCACAGTTACTTGTGATTCACATTTAGACATCTGGCTACTCTTAGTAAAGGCAGTGAACATTCAAAAAAGAAAATTTAGTATTTTTAGTTCTCAGATATTTTTCATATGATATTTTCTGAATTTAAAACTTCATGTTGGTGACCAGAACACAATTGTCTATTAGAAACAGTGAATCATAGTATTTTTTGGACAAGATAGAACCTTAGAGATCATTTAGCCCAACACCTTCGATTCATATTGTAGAAATTCAGGTCAGTAGGTGTGAAATGATTTGTCCAAGGTGGCTGAACTGAGACTAGATCTTAGGTTTCCTGAATTCCAATCTACTGCCATTTCTATTATACTATATGACTGCTTAAATATATTAGTGTATCTTAATTAGCTACCTAAACTTCTATTATCTCTGTGTTTTTAATCACTATGGAAGATTTCAAATATGTCACTCATTTGTAGTTTTTTCCATGCCGGCTGTATTTTGAGACATTTTATTCAAGCTTTACAGAGGTTTTCTGAACTTCTTTCAGACTAGTGGAAAAGACATAGATGCTCTCTCCTGTGCCCATTCCTATCTGGTAGCATTAGAACCTGAGAAGTTAGTTAAGGGGATATCTTATCTATAAAGTGGCCTGGCTTGGGATATTGAGGCTCTCTTGTTCCTTTCTCAAGCCTAAGTGAAATTTGCCTTGACTGTCCTGTAATTAAAACTTTATCAAAGAAATAGTAGGCCTGATTCTACATTGGATAGATAATAGCTATTCAATTACCTTAAGGCTACAGACTCTAGAAGACATTAGAGTAGTGTAGCCATTGGGATGTGCAGTCATGTCTCCTTCCTTTATTTTTCTTATCAATATAATATTCATGTGTACATTATTTAGTCACACATGTACATTTTGAAATGTTAATAAAAATAAAAAAATATGATTCATAGTGCCAATATTATACTGTCCCTTTTCAGGACACTAATGCTGCTAAGACCCTAGCCAAGGAGAAAACGGCTGAAGAAGTTTTCTTAGGCTAGTTGTGACCGAGGGGAACAATTGCTAGATATTCTGGGTTCTTATCTGTAAGTCTGTATGTGGTACCGGGCTCTGATTCAATTGCTCCTCTTTAAATGAACTTATTCTGGACTAAAGATGCATTTTACAGCCCTTTGCTTCCATAGGTGAATCAAATGTTCCTTTCAAAGAACATTCTGTTCACTAGTTTAGGGGTTTTTAACCTGCGATCTCTGAATTTGTTTTTAACAAATGTATTGTTAGCTGTATTTCTATAACTGCTTTTCTTTGTACTCCTATATATTTTATTGTATGCATTCAAAAAGGTTAGTCTTGAGAAGGGATCCATGGGCTTCACCAGAAAACCAAAGGGGCTCATGGCACAAAGAAGGTTAAGAACACCTACACTGGAGCATCAGTAGCCTTAATATTGCTTTCTTTTGATTTTACTTGATCCTGTTCAATTTCAATGTTCCTGGAATTTTTCTTAAACCAAAAGGTGCTAGACATAAAAGCATAACTTCATGGGGTCCTCCCTTCTTTTCGATATTCTAGTGCTCCCTTAACTTACTAGATGGCTCTTGAAAAATAATTAATATCAATTTTTTTAAAAATTGGAAATAAAATCTGATGGATTTCACCAGATGAGCTACTCAGCTTGTTTTTTTAAAGTGACAACCACAAGAGTTTGTACCTGGTTCAGGCTGCAGGTGACAAAAGTCATGGGAGAGAGGGAAAACAAAAGACTAGCAGGATTATGAGAAGCAAGAAAGAGGGAAAAGAGAAGGAAGACAGAACAAAGAGGGGAAAGGGGAAGAGACAAAGGAAGAAGGAAGAGACAGGGGAAGAGGGGGAGAAATGAGACCATCTTTTTTATCCTTTTGCTTCTTCTTCTCAGATGGCTCCTATTTTATGTAATTGCTTCCTCAAAAGAGAAAAAATCCTATGCCATACTTCAAAAACAAAAAATTGAATAACTTAAAACTCATGAATTCCAAATTTCAAAAATACCAAATTTCTCCACATGTCATCTGGCAAATAATTTTTGGTGTGTTAATGGAGGAGACAGGAGTGGGCTACTCCAGAGGGCCAGCATGGATGGAGAAGCAAAGGCTTTGTGGGAGTTTTCCTAGCTTGCTTTGTGGAGGTAGCCCGACCCGAGGGATGAAGGCAAATTCAATGAATCTTCCTCAGACGAGATCCATCCATTGAAGACGTTATTGCTAGGTGTGCTAGCAGCAGCGGGATGATCTGTAGGTGAGAAAAGTTCAAGATCTTGGGAGGGCAGCTTCTGTCTTCTGAACTCGTTCAGATGATGGTAATTCTTTGTGTTCAAGTTTAAATTAGTACAGCTTCATCGAAGCCTCAAACAGAGCTGACAATTCTTCTTCTGACTGAGGGCGTGGCGCGAGTTTAGTTACTCTTTCCTGAAATAGCAAATCAAAGGGGTTATGTGGAATCTGGAAAAGTCTAAATGCCGTTAAATTATACTGAACTGATCTGGTCTTCAGAAAACAGTGATTTGGCAACAAAAGAACATGGCCTCTTTTTTTCTTTTCCAAATCTTTTGCTGGATATACGACTTGACAACTATTAGGGCAACTAGGTGGTGCAGTGGCTTGAAGTCAGGAAGATCAGAATTCAACTATGGCCTCAGACACTGTGTGACCCTGGGCAAGTCATTTAACCCCCTCTTGCCTCAGGTGCTCAGCTGTAAAATGGGGACACACTGAAGAAAGAAATGGCAAACCACTTTGCTAAGAAAACCCCATGGGTTTCTCCATGGGGGTCATGTAGAGTTGGACGACTAAATGACAACAGTTTATTACTTGACATTTATAGAATACGTGGGCTCCTTACAGCCATTATCCAGTTCCTCATAATGACTCTGTGCACAGGTATTATGAACTACATTTCCAGATGAGGAAGCAAGCTCAAGGAGATTAAGTGATTTTCCCAAAACCATGCAATCAATAAGTGCAAGAATTGGGACTGTAATCATACACTTTTTACTGTCCCACAGTTGCCTCCTCTTTTGCTGTCCATTCCTCCAAATAGGAGACAAATGCAGGAATTTTCCTGTTTTGTATGAGTTTTTGAAAGGTGTGTCCTCTTTCCCTACCACACTCCACTCTGCCTCTCTGTCCTGACCCCCAAAAGACCAACTAAATAAATAACCAAAATTCCAGTCAGTGAACTATGCCATACTACCTAGAGTCAGAGGGATTACCCTAAAGTGGGAATAACTTTGAATTCTTCCCAAGATCACAGATCTGGAGCTGGAAGAGAGGCTATCTGGTTTTGGCCTCTTATTTTACAGCTGAGGAAACTGAGGCCCAGAGAGTTAAGTGACTTGCCCAATGTTGTACACATGAGAGGTGGGATTTGAACTCAGGTTTCATTATCTCCAGAGCCAGTGTTCTTTCCACTGCATGTTACTAATATTAAGCTATTTCCTAGCTCACTCTTCTGCCAGGGAGTGAGTGGTTGTGTCTTCTGCACACTGCAATGTTGTATGTTGTAGCCAGCCTGTGATGTGGGTTTGGCCACAGAGATCAGCCAAGTTGTTTCTTCCAATCGGAACTGATGGACATAAAAGACCCTTTCTCAAATGCTAGATATATTATTCAGGTGATATATTATTCAGGAATTAGCATGTCATTCTTACTACATTAAATCTTACCTACAGTAATAAGGGAAAATGAAAATTGAATTAGTCTTTCATAATTGCAAAATTTAGAAGTTACCGCAGCAGCCTTGGAAGTTTTCACTTATAACCTCATGGATACTGTAAAAAATGAAGGAAAACAATGCCATGTGATTCCAAGGCCCCTTCTGGCTCTACAAATGTATGAATTTATACATATGTGTGCTAGAGAAGGAAGGAAGGAGGGAGGGAGAGAGGAATAAAAGAAAGAAAAGGAAGGAAGGAAAGGAAGGAAGCTTCAAAGGAGTGAAGAAGGGAAGGAAGAAAGAAAAGGGAAAGAAAGAGAAAGGACAATATATAGAGAAAGGAAGAAAGAAGGAAATAAGGAAGGAAAGAAAGACCCACATCAACCTCAAAGCAAAACTAGTTAAGGGTTCTTTTGAACTGGCAAATATTCACCAGGTGACTATAAAACAATGACACGAGTTTTCTAGTGGTTCTTATAAACAATCTTATTTTGCAGTAAACAATCCTATATATAGTCATAGCTAGTAGTCAGAATATACAATTTAGAAACACTATTTTAATCCAGTTAGCAAACTCATTTTGTCTGAGGCTGGCAAAAATAAACAGAGTTGGCTTTGGAGTCAGAAGGACCTGGGTTAACTGACTTTCACATACTGGCTATGTGACACTGGATAAGTCACTATTGCAGAGAAGATGCTAATTGGCACTGGTAGAAGTTCTTCACTACCAGTTTCCTACAATGATTTTTTAAAAAAAGTAGTTTTGCTCAAGCTATTTTTCACAGTGTGACATGACATGTTAAGCAATCAGAATAACTACTAATTAACTTGCTACTTTAGTGGATGTTCTTGAATTTTCAACCCTCTCTGAAATTACATTTTACAATGAAAATGTGAGAGCTCTAATTCACATGGAAGAAAATTGTTGATTTGTTGCTGGTGGTTGAAAAGGTCATGGCTAGTGACTAAAGCCAGATTATCAAGAATATCTCCTGATACTAGATGTTGCATATGGCCTTCTTTTGACTCGCTTTGTCAGTTTTGCTTAATAGTATTGTTTTGATTGTTATGGTTGTTGTTGGGGGTGGGGTGGGGTGTTCTGGTATTTTGGTCCATAGCTGGTATAAAACAGAAAAGCTCATTAATGAATTTTTTAAAAAACCCAGCAGGTCATAATATACTGATTTAATGGAAAGAGAGATTTGGAGATAGGGGAAGCAGTAACAAATCTTACTTCTACTTATTACCTATAAGACATGGTTAAATCATTTTATCTCTCTGGGCTTCTGTTTCTTCTTAGTAAATTTAAGAGGTTGGACTAGATGATCCAACCTCTAAGGTCCTTCTTTCATCTTTCATTTCTATGATCCTAAGATCAGACAATTTAATGAGAAAATCACAGACTTTTGTTTATTTATTTTTGGTGATAAAATAGCAAACATTCGTGGCACTGGATTAACAAAAAGGTAAGAGGCAATCATTTTTCACAGGTTCCCTTGTGGAATGAGTATCTCTTTAAATGTCCTATCTAAAGTCAGAGGCTACTTTCTAAATCAAATTATGGCTACTTCATTCCCAAGGACAGTCCTTGATTTTAGCCACCTAGCCCTGGTTGAGTACTGTCCAGTGTGAAGGGTTCTCTTAAAAATTATCCTGCTTGCTCTTTTTATGGTGGCTAAGAATTGGAAATCAAAGGGATGCTCACCATTTGGGGAATGGCTAAACAAGCTGTGGTATATGATCGTGATGGAATATTATTGTACTATAAGCAATGACAAGCAAGCTGACTTCAGAAAAACCTGGAAAGACTTATATTAACTGATGAAAAGTGAAATGAACAGAACCAGAACTGCATACACAGTAACAGCAATATTGTTCAATGAATTGTCAATGACTTAGTTATTCTCAGTGATACAATGATTCAAGAAAATCCCAAAGGACTAATGAAGCATATTATCTGCCTCCAGAGAAAGAACTGATATTGTTTGAACACAGCATTGTTTGAAGCATGCTATTTTTCACTTTCTTTCATTTTTTTCCCTTTGAGTCTTCTTGGACAAAATGACTAATATGGAGATGTTTTACATGATTGCACATGTATAACCTATATTTGATTGCTTACCATCTCAGGAAGAGGGAAGAGGAATGAGGGAGGGAAGGATAGATTTTGGAACTCAAAACTTAAAAAAAATGTTAAAAATTGTTTTAACATGTAATGGGGGGAAATAAGATATATTTTAAAAATTACCCTGCTCAATACAAACTGAAATAGTGGCTCAAAGAAAAAAGAGAAGAGATTAAGTCCTCCCAAACTATTTGAATATCTGCCTTAAATAGAGAAATATTAAGTGGCTTTAAATTATGGTGTTTAAAATATGTTTGTATGTACATATATTCAACCATGTATATTTGGAGTCAAGGGCTTTTAGATATGACATAACTTGGTATAACATATTTATATTAGCTATAAATATGCTGAGGAAAGAAAAATTATTAGGCTTTATCCCCACCCCCACCTCCAACCCCATTTGACACATTTTGTTGACTTGACACTTCCTAGTATACACTCCCTCTCTCTCGCCTCCCCCCATCCCGGAAAAAAATCAAACTCTCAAAAGTACGGTCCTGGAAAACTGTTGAGCAAAACTGTAACAAGTTTAATTTTAAAAGTACCTCTTTCCTTAATAAAACTACAGAAACAACTAATTTTCCTTAAGGAAAGGTTATAGTGAAACTTTGAAGTAGTGAAATTTTCAAGATATTTTCACCCTATTTCATGAGAGAGACTGTCAAGAATACTTCATGGATGGGGGAAGGTGGGAGGTGGATAAAAGAGATTTTTGTTAATTGAGGGAAAAAAATACTATATTCAGGAAAACCCTACAGAGAGGAAGGAAAATTTCATTGCAAAGCCAAAGCATCTTGGGCGTCTTACCTCGATTCTCAACGGACAACCCTTTGGTTGCATCATAGAAGTATCACATAACAACACCTGGCTTTGTGTTTGTGCAGTTCTTTATGGAAAAACATAAAGGCAAAGGGACATTTGGTATCTCCTCCCTCCTCCCTCCCCTTTGTCCCTCTTAAGAAAGGTCTGCACTGCAGGGTGGGCTTGCGAAAGAGAAGCAAAGTGTCTCCAGGGAGACTCTTGGGTTTCATTTCTTTTCACACGAACCAAAATGAATTTTTTTTTCTCCTAAAAAGAAATAAAACTTTCAAATACTTGCATCTCGTGGGGAGGACTCCGAGGACCGCCTGGCTTACCTGAGGCAGTGTGCCTTTGACTAGCGCGGGGATATCAGCTTTGGAATAGCCAATGGCGGCTAAGCCATCATCAACATTCAGATCAAACAAAAATTTCCGGAGCGTGTCAGCCAAAATAAGCCCAGCGTCTTTGATTTTGGCAGTGCGGATGTCGGCTCCTGAAATAAGACATAAAGGCTGGACTGTAGGATAGAAAGAAGGGAGGAAGCCTGTTCTGAGCTGGATTTAATCATAGTATCAGCTTAAGACCTAATTTGCACATAACTGTCATCTCTCTAACCCCAACGAGAAGGGCCAGCAATATTGTCTTCGCCTGAAGTTAGAACAACTTGTAAAATATGGCATGAAACCAACCAGGCGTGGCGACGCTGCCAAGGAAACATGTAATACCTCTGGCTAAGGCAGACAAGTTGGCAGATGGAGCCAACTCCTTTTCCCGCCTCGCCGGAACTATCCTTTTTGAAAAATGACCTTGACCAAAAACAAACAAAAAAACCCCCAACCACTCAAATCCTTCTTCCGAAATCTCCCCAAACTTGTCCTTGGCTTGGTGGGAGGGAAAGGAAAAGAGAAAGGGATGAAAAGAGATCAAAAAAGTAAGCCGGGGGGGTGGTGGTGGAGAGAGGCGGTGGCTTGCATCCACTAAGAGGCTAAGACACTTTTGTAGGAGAAAACTTGACAATCGTCAATTTCAAGGACTGGAATTTGCTGACATCTAGAGGTGTGTTCTTTTAATTTCTCATCGCTCTCCCCCAGCAACATTTTGATTCCTGAAGGTAGACGCTTTGAAAACACCTTTATCTTCAGCAGAGATACAGAAAAAAATACAAGAAAGGCCATGAAAATAAGAGCAATTACAATAAAATAGAAAAATAATCAGAACATACATATATGTATATATACATATACATACATAAAAACACACAGATATGTTACATTGGAGGAAATACCTTCTGGTTCTTATTATATTCAATCAGTTGTTTTCATTAGATTGCAAGCTCCCAAAGGGCAGGGACAGCCATTAAATAATAAGAAGCTATGGGCCACGTACGTAAAGATTCTCTGAAATGACAATTTCTACTGTGGACATTTATAATGAGGAGAGGAGATATTAACAAGTCTAAAGTTTGGAAGGAGAGATTCTGATATTTTTATGAATTCATTCTGTTCATAATTCCTAGGAAAACAGGTCTGCAAATAGATGAAGGTATACTATACCCTCAGATAGGGACACACGTAAAGGACAGAAGAGCAAAGGCGATTTTATTCTGTTTTTCAAGACCTTCAGGGAGTAAGATTCCATAATCACCTTCTTAAATTCATCCCATGGTCTAACCACCATTATTATCAAGAAATTAAGACCTATATAAATATGAAGCATATTATCATTAAACCTAACCATAATCTCTCATGCTTCAGTTTAAGCTGTCGGTAAAAAATAAGAACAAAAATTAACCATAGTCTCTATATAATGATTTTTCCATCTTGATGACTGTTTTAGTAATCCAGTTGTACCTTCTGCTATACTTTGAAAGTTGGCAAACTTGGGAGACAAAGTATCTTAGGATAATGCAGGGAATTATTTGAAGGAAGAAAAAGGAAAGTTTAACAAGGTACAGAAAAATCTGTGGATTACTCATTTTAGAGACTAGTCCCTTTTTGGCAATGGAGATGACTGCATCAAAAGACAGTAATGTATATTTCCTTTTGTTAGAAATCAGGTTATAGCTTAAAACAATAATTCAGATTTACAGAAAAAATGAAAATAAACCCAATAAAATGATATAAATACTAACTAGACATAGAGCAGTAGGATGGGAAGGCAGCGTGGCTATTGAGTTATTCAGTCAACCTAGGTTTGGAGGAGCTGAAATGTGGCTTAGGCAGGGGGCTGAAATATGAGAGGAGTATTTTTATAGCTTCCCTGATTCTGGGAGGGCAGCCATGAAATATGCCATCAAAAACTCTACATTTCCTTGTGAGGTATATTACAATGTAAAAATATTGGTGCTGGATGGAAACAGTCTCAGATCACTTGAAGAATATTTTTTTAAAGTGGAAGAAAAAGGGGAAAATATAGGGCAGCTAACTGGCTGGATAGAGCACTGGGTCTGGAGTCAGGAAGACCTGAGTTCAAATTCAGCCTCAGGCTCTTACTAGTTGTATGACCCTGGGCAAGTCACTTAACCCCATCTGCCTCAGTTCCCTCACCTGTAAAATGAGTTGGAGAAAGAAATGGCAAACCACTCTAGTATGTTTGCCAAGAAAACCCCATGTGAGGTCACGAAGAGTTGGACATGATTGAACAACAACAAAAGGAGAGTTTAAAATTTCAAAAAGGGCCTTAAAGCATTTTAATGACTCAATAGAGCATGGCATAAAACAAACTTGAATAAAACAAAAGTTATATTTTTGTAACTGAAGCTTTATATTGCTGAAAGGACAAATTATTAATTCTTAATACACAAGTCTTACCCAAAAGGGGAGCTAATTTCTCAACACTTTCATTAACTTTCTTGGATGTTAATTAATTTTAGCCTCTAGATTATCTTTGCTAACCATAACTTAAAGTTAACAATTAGGGCTCCTCCTCCTTACAAAGTCTGGATACATCACAAAGCCAACCCGGTCCCAGTTTGGGGCTAGTACATCCCAGTGAAAGGGAAAAATGAAATAGAATACTTTTCCCCCTCCCCCCCAGTGATGAACAAAAACGATCACAGGAAAGTCAATCTTCCGCAGCAAGTATGGCAATATCAAATTGCTTTGTGACAATGCTCATTTACTCGAGGTTCCTTTGAGTAACATAATATGATTAATACAATGAGAATAAGGGAGCTGAGCTCTCCGCATACTCAATGCACACCCAGGGTATCACCTGGAACCCAGGAAGGATCACAGACACAGAAATGTACAAGAGCACAGACAAGAAGTAGAGGGAGATAAACAGCACAGAGTTCAAGGAAGTCTGGCACTTACTGTTAACTTTTAAAAGAATTGGAAAATGAAGCCAGAATAACATGATGACATATTCTGGCTAAATAAATACCCTGGCTAATAGAGAGTTAGCATTTCAACAATTTTCAGTTCTTTGAAAATTGTTAATATACTTGTGCTATATATAAAGTTTCCCAATTAGATAATAAAGAATTGGGAGGGGGATGGAGAAGGAAGGAGCAAGGCCCCAAATGAAAATGTCATTGATGTCCAAAATAATTCTGAGGATCTTTCAGGGTCTGAATTACCAAGGACATCAATCATACAATATATAAATATTGTATCAATACAATATCACTCCCCAAAATCTTATTATTTGGATTTATTGGATATGGGATTCTGGATAAATGGGGTTTTATGGTATAGCCTGGATTTAATTTAATTTGTTAAAATTCTTTTTATCATTTGTCAAAAATAGATATAACAACTGCTTGCGACATCAATGGAAGATTAGGAGTTGTGCTTTTGGGAGGGAGGGAAATTGGTGAATACTATTAATTGCTGTGAAATGAGTGGAAACTTTCTATTTAATTGCTCATGCTTCTAGGATCTAGAGCTGAGAGAGAACTTAAAAGACATATTACCTAATTCCTTTGTTTTACAGATGAGGAAACTAAGGCCCAGAAATACTAAGTGTCTTGTTAATCACATTAAAGAATTATAGAGTTGGAAGGAAACTTAGTGGTCATAGGATCACAGTATCCCCGGGTCTAGAGCTGAGAGGGACCTCAGAAGTAAGAGTCTAAATCCCTGATTTTACGGATAAGGATCTAAAACCCAAAGGGTCTCATGACTTGTCTGGTGTCACACCAGCTCTAAATGGCAAAGTCAGGCTTTGAACCCAGATCCTTGGACATTAAAGCCAAAGCTATTTTTTTGTTTTTTCAGTACTTTCAGTCATGCCTGACTTTTTGAGATTCCATTTGGGGTTTTCTTGGCAGAGATACTGGAGTAGTTTGCCATTTTCTTCTCTAGCTCATTTTACAGATGAAGAAACTGAAGCAAATAGGGTTAACTGATTTGCTCAGTATCACACACTTAGTAAGTGTCTGGGACCAGATTTGAACTTAAGATGAGTCTGACTCCAGGCCCAGCACTCTGCACTATGGCGCCACCTAGCCACCCCAAAGCCAAAGCTGTGTAGTTCATCTATTTATCCAAAGCAAAAAGTCCCTCTCTAAAATTTCTTAACTGATCGCCCTCTGGCCTCTTTGAATACTTCACAAGAAAGCTTTCCATACTTAGAAACTTCTTTCTTTTGTTTAGCTGAAACATCCCTGTTGAATAACTAGTGTTCTTATCATGTTTATTGATATATAGTTTGGGAACATTTAATAAGAACGATCGCTATTGTTCAGTGACCCCATTTGGGGTTTTCTTGGAAAAGATTTTGGAGTGGTTTGCTGTTTCCTTCTCCAGCTCATTTAACAGATGAGGAAACTGAGGCAAACAAGGTTAAGTGACTTTGCAGGTGTCACACAGCTAATAAGAGTCTGAGGCTGGATTTGAACTCAGGTCTTTGATACAAATTTATTTATTTTTAGTTTTCAACATTCACTTCCACAAGTTTTTGAGTTCCAAATTTTTGCCTCATCTCACCCCTCCCCCACCTCAAGATGGCATGCATTCTGAATACCCCTTCCCCTAGTCTGCCTTCTCTTCTATCTCTCCCCCCTTCTCTTATCCCCTTCCCCTTCTATTTTCCTGTAGAGCAGGATAGACTTCTGTATCCCATTTCCTGCATTTCTTATTTCCCAGTTGCATGTCAGAACATTTTTTTTAAACATGTGCTTTTAAAACTTTGAGTTCAAAATTTTCTCCCTTCCTCCCTCCCCACCCACCCTCATTGAAAAGGCAAGCAACTCAATATAGGTTGTAGATGTGCAGTCATGCAAAACACTTCCATAGTAGACATTTTGTGAAAAACTAACTCTGTTTCCCTTAATCCTATCCTGCCCTCCCGTTTATTCTATTCTTTCTTTTGACCCTGTCCCTCCTCAGAAGTATTTACTTCTGATTACCCTCTTTCCCAATCTGCCCTCCTCTCTATCATCCCCCTGGTCTCTTGTCCCCTTTTCCCCCTATCTTCCTGTAGGGTAAGACAGATTTCCATCTCTAACTGAATGTGTATGTTATGAACTCAGGTCTTTGAACAATCACTAAAAATACTAATAAACTCTTATAAGGAATGGGACCAGTAGGCAGAAGGCTAGTCTTCGCCAGCCACTTTCTAGATAGTTATACCTGGGTAAGTCACTTGATGTCTATAAGCCTCAACTGACCCATCTATAAAATAGGGATAATCCTTTACTTACCTGAAGGCAAGAAGAAGAAGCAGATGATCACTCATAGTCTTTCCCAACTCTAAAATTTATGATTCCATGAAATAATGTTATAATTTAAGGTGAATTTTTGATTTATTTTGTGATATCAAACTCTTCCCTCTCAACAATAATCTTAGATGATTATATACAGTTTTGCCAATGGCAAACAACATTGAGAAGTTTATGTCACTTATACTTATAAAGTAATAGATTTGTGAATAGCAGGATCATACCCAAAATCTTTGCAGTCTCTAAGTGCCGCTCAGGAAACATTTGTGCCGTGAAAGTAAATACTGCTGGGGATGTGAGTACCACAGAAAGGCCATGTGGCTGCAGGGAAAAAACAAAACAAAATACCAAAAAATGAGGAGTATTCACAGATGTAACAGTTTGTTCTTCAACCAGAAGGATGTAAACACTGACCTGTTTATCATGTGATTCAAATAATGGAACATTATCCCAAAGCTATCAAAAATAGACAATGACTTTTTAAAAAAATTACCACCAAAGAATGATCCACATTATAATCCTTTGCTTTATACATCTTCACCAAACCAGAAATTGGGTAAGACATCCCATGGCTGGAAACAAAAGAAATTTCTCATTCAGATACATGAATGTGATCATTTCAAGTCTCTAAATTAACAATAAAAATTTCTATCACGAAAAATTCTCATTTAGGTATGGTACTTTATAAAAGATACTAATGAAATGGACTATATGATTACCACATAAAATTCTGTTTCATGTAAGCCTGCTCACTTCTCCTCACCCTTCCCTAGTTGACCTGGGAAGCTAGAGATACTACAGCTAGAGACGTGCCTTGTTCATGAACAAAACCTGTCAAGTATTTCAATCCCAATGCTTGTAGTATTTTGTGAGAAATGGATGTTGATACAAGAGGAAAACAAAGTACCCATCTGTCCCCCTAAGCTTAATTGCCCTTCTCGTCTCCAAAGATGAGATGGTATCACCCAGAAAGCTTCTTTAACCAAATATAATGGAGTCTTTAATGAGTAACCTGATGATGCTTCCTCAGTACACACCCCTACAGGATGTTGTCTTCATAGGAAATGCTACAGAAGAAAGGGAACATTGAGAATGCAATGTGTTCCTTAGTAACACATTACAGTCATCACTGATATTTTACCAAATGCTCCATTTAGAGAGGTTGGATAAATAGTTCTGTACAATTATGAAAGACTCCAGAATATTTCTAGTACTAGTAAATGTACTAATTAACCTGCAAGATTATATATTCCATGTTTTTACCTATGCGTTTTGTTTTCTGTTTTGTATTATATTATGTGTATATGGAATGCCTGGTTTCCTTCAAAACTAAGCTCAGGCACACCTTCTACATGAAGCCTTTCCTGATCTCTTCTGCATGGTTTCTAGTGCCCTTCCTCCCCCAAATACCCAACAATAAAATATCAGCACTGGTATCACCACTTGGAAAAAGACCTGCCTGAGAGAAAGATAAGAAAAGAATGTGACATTCTGTAGGAAAAAAAGTTGGTTGAATAATTCAAACTAGTTTCCTAAATCAAACCAAAGGGAGAAATATTGTTCAATAAATGGTTTTAGTAGAGGAATAATAGATATGATATCACATTGGCCATTTTGTATAATATTCTGTGTGTGTGGATACACACATATACATATATGCATATATAAATATATATGTGTGTATCTGTATCTATTTATCTATGTATATAATATGTTTCCATTAGAATATAATCTCTCTGAGGTTAGGCACTGTTTAATTTTTATCTTTGTAGCCCCAGTACCTGGCATACAAGTAGGTGCTTAATAAATTCTTGTTGATTGATGGTTTATAAGTTTTTTGAGCAACTAGGTGGTGAAGTGGAGCCTGTTGCTAGGAAGACCTGAGTTCCATTCTGGCCTCAGACACTTCCTAGCTGTGTGACTGTAGGTGAGGAAACTGAGGGAAACAAGGTTAAGAGACTAGGTAAGTCTCTTAACCTTGTTTCCCTCAGTTTCCTCATCTGTAAAATGAGCTAGAGAAGGAAATGGCAAACTGCTCCAGTATCTCTGCAAAGAATACCTTAAAACGGGGTCATGAAGAGTTGGACACAACTGAAAACAACTAAAACAACGTTCTTTGGGTATAGGGATAAAGCTTTATTCATTTTTAAAAATCTCTCTGAATACTTAGAGTAGTATAGGCATTTAAATGTAGAAATTGAGTTAAATGGAGCACTATTGGAGAAGGTTAGTTCTACTAACTATTTTTTTTTCCTTTTGGAGATAGTGGAGAGTAAATGTCTTGCCTGAAGTCAACAATTAATGACATTAACTTATTCAACAAATATTTAATGAATATCTACCGTGTGTGAAATGATATCTCAGATGTAGACAGCAAAATTCATTTCATAAACTCATGGGTTTTATAGTCTAATAGATCAATATAAACTATCTATTAACTGAGAAAACATTTACAGTAGGTTAAGTTGAAGTTCTCACAATAGTATCTCTAAATTTGCCCACTTGTCTTAAATCTAGATGTTGAGATGAAAAAATCAGATCTGGGCTCAACTTACCAGAGATGAACTCCAGCATTTCCAAAGCCAATACCAGCAAAAACACTTGCCAAGTGCATGTTTGACCTTGCCTCAAGGTCATCAGGATTTCTGACAGCTCTGTGAACAGAAGAAATAAATACCCAACATTAAAATATCAGCACTGGTATTACCACTTGGAAAAAGACCTGCCTGAGAGAAAGATAAGAAAAGAATTCTGTAGGAAAAAAAGTTGGTTGAATAATTCAAACTAGTTTCCTAAATCAAACCAAAGGGAGAAATAATGTTCAATAAATGGTTTCAGTACAGGAATAATAAATATGCTGTCACATTGGCCATATGAGACAAAAGCACATATGGAAGAAAAGCACTGACCCTTAAATTTTAAGACATTGCTTTAGTCATTTTTCTTCTTCAACTGTAAATGATGATGACTAAAACCACAGGCTAAATGTGTGTGTATGTGTGTGTGTGTCTATATATACATATAGACACACACATACATATACAGACATATACAGACACACATGTATATAAGACATATGTAGGTGTGTGTATGTATACATACATACATAACATACATACATACATACAAGATTATAATAGAACTCTCTCTGGAGTCAACAGTTGCCTCTGCATACCAGGGAGCTTGTACAGACTAGAACATATTCTTTTATTTGTGGTTGCTTCAGGATGGATCCATTAGGAAACTCTTTTAGTATCTTTAGAAACAACATACACCTTTAAAATTTGTGATGATAGAACTGAGATATTATTATAGTAAAAGCTGTTCTTTACTCTTCATATTCTCAGTGTCACCAGAGAAACAATGAATTTTTTGAGCCTCATTTTCAAAGCAGCAAAATCCTCATACAGTACTTGAAAATATTATTTAGAGCAGTATAGCGGAACCCTATCAACTGAGCTTTTTTCTCAATTTGTTAGTCATGATTTTATCTCATTGAAGGTTTTATGCTATAAAATAATGACACAGCTTCCCACCCCTGCTCCTTTTGAATGGTTAGGTATTCAATGCTGTTCTTCCACCAAAACCCTATAAAAGATCCCCCATTTTCTTTTATAGAAGGCTAAAAATAGCTGACTTGGGAGGTTTATATGTCTCAACTTTGCTTCTCATTTTTCCTGAATAAGTCTCTTATTGTCTAATCTATAAGTCATCTTAAAGATGCAAGAACAAGAGCTAGTTGTGTCGTAGATAGGTGCTGGCATCTCTTCTTTCTGTAATATTTATGCTAGTTTTCAAAATGCTAATAAAAATTAAAAGGAAAGAGAAAAAAATAGGGACCTGGAATCGGAGTCAGGGAGACTTGGATTCAAATTTTGTCTTTGACACATACTGCCTGGGTGATCCTGAGCAAATTATTTAATCTTTCAATGCCTTAGGCAACTTTCTAAGTTACAGAATATGTGGCAATCAATCTGCCTTGGAAGAGAAAATTTCTGGGAGCTCCTTACAACAATGAAATTACAATTCTGGTCCAAAAGAAAGAGTTGGTATCTTACTACTATAATGTTGGGTGTGGTGCACCATCAGTTTCCTAAGAAGCATCATTCTCATGGAAGACACCAGAGAAATGCTTCTGGGAAGAGTAAAGGTCTCAGAACTCAAGCCTAGCAGAAGCCAGTGATGCCGGGTCTGGACATGAACTTGCCAGGACTGATGTATGGAGGAACTGAGCCTAATCTCTATTCTTCCCCTCCATGTTTGGTGAGATTATGCCTCCAAGATATTGGGGAAAATGTTTGTCTGTTTGTTCTTGAGATATCATTGAAGAAAATACCCTTTTGTAAAAATTTATCCAAGGTTAAGCCATTAAATGAAACTGCAGTGCTAGTCATTGGGCCCCTCAAAATTCAGCCTAAAGTCACAAAGAACTGAGCTCAAATTTGACCTCAGGTACTTATTAGCTGTTTGACCCTAGGCAAGTCACTTAACCACTATTTGCCTCAGTTTCCTCAATTTCAAAATGGCAATAATTACAGTACCTACCTTGCAGGGTTGTTGTGAGGATCACATGAGATATTTGTAAATAGCCTGGCACATAGTAGGTGCTGCATAAATGTTTATTATTCCCTTCTCCTAAACTCTGCATCCTTCCCCTTCACTCCTTCTTTCCCCATGCTGAGCATTGTTCTTTGCACACAGTAGACAATAACATTTGTTGTTATATAAAATCAATAACAGCCATACTGGGTCATCATCATGGTCTATCTGGCTCAATAATCTCTAGTAAAATGTAAACTTATTGAGGGCAAATATTGTTTTAATTTTTGTCTTTTTTTCCCAGCACCTATCTCAGTATCTTCAACATAGTAAGTGCTTAAGTATTTGGTGAATGAATACTTTCTTGCTAATAGGGGCCCCAAGGAATGTTCATGATTGTCTTGCATGTCTAACTACAACCATGATGGTTATATAGATATTAGACTCTATTAGCAATTATTTATGGCTAGGCGCTTCATAAATTCACCTAAACCTTTTAAAAATTCATTTACATTTTTTGCCTTTACTAACTTCCTCTTGATTGCAGCACCATAGTTTATGACTCAGTGTACTAAATATCACAGGTAAATAGAACACTAGAATCAGAACAGATGTTAGAAAACCACTAGTCCAATCCTCTCCTTTTACAGAAGGAGGAACCTAAGTAGTAACTTCCTTTTATTTATCCTTACCTTGTTCAGTTTCCAAAGAGTGTCCACTCTCATCTTGACTAATTACTGAATATAGCACTTTAAGATATATAAAGTGGTTTATATACATTATTTCATTTGAGTCTTACAACAAAGACAGGTACCACAAGTATTACTATCTTCATTTTATAGGTGAGGAAACAATTTCTAAGAGGTTTGATATGTCCATGTTTAGTGACACAGCCAGTGTCAGAAGAGGGATATGATCTCGGGCCTTCCCAAATCTAGGTTCAGCACTCTGACGTGCTATGCTGCCTTACAATGCTAGCATTCTGGGACATGCTGAAAGACTTGTGATGACCTCATCCATACTATTCAATATTTTATGGATTTTGGTCATGTTCCCTTCTTGGCCTTTTAACCTTTGCCTTTCTGGTTTGGAGGATCCTAGTCTTTTAGCCTATCCTTATACATCAATCCTACCATACTTTATACCACTTTAGTGGACATTCTCTAATTCCATTATGCCCTTCTTGAGGTCAAATGACCAGAATGATGTGCAGTATTCCAGAAGCAGATTCCTTATGCTTTCGTATAAGGTAGGATAATGTTTTAGAATCTATATAACAGGCAGAGCCTACCTCTTCAGATATTTGGCGACAATTTGAAGTGCCTGTATGGCCCAGACATCACTTATAGGGTTGCTGCCCTGGTAAGCTGGTCGATTGACTGGATTTGAAGGGCAAGGGCTTCGCATGTGGTAAGGAAGGGCTGTGTATGATTCCAATGCATGGCTGGAAAGAAACAGTAAAGTAACTGAATGAAATGAAAGAGCTGTTTTGTCTCCATACAAACTAAAAATTATCACTTTGAAAATTTTTAACATTTGTTCTACTGTGGATATGCTGTTAGACCTTCTGTTTATGAGCTTTTAGCTACTGATGGTTTTACCTACCATAGGGGTTGGTAACTGGTGGCTCTGAAGCTCTGTAAGTCTTTAAATACGTATATTAGGCTTCTTTAGGCAAAACAAACAAGTGAAATCATACTTATGTATTGACTCATTTCATTAAAGAGCAAATATTACGAACCATGAACAGAATTGTTAGCTTTGGTGATAAGTAGTGCTCAGGCCTAAAGTTCTCACCACCAATTCCCAACCTCATCTTTTCCAAAGCATGAAGCCCTCTTTGGGGGTACCCAACTCCTCTTGCTCCCCTTTGATGTCAACCTTTTTTTTCCTACCTTCACTTTCTCTCCTGTGCCTTACCCTCTCTAATTTAAACCTCACGCCCTTCTACTTCCAAGTTGACATTTAGCTAATTTAATAATCTTATTTTTATTGCTGTTCAATCATTTTCAGTTTTTTCCAACTCTTCATGACCCCCCCTTTTTTTTTTTGGTTAGGCAATTAAGTGACTTGCCCAGGGTCACACAGCTAGTAAGTGTGAAGTGTCCAAAGCCAGATTTCAACTCAGGTCCTCCTGACTCCAGACTGCACCACCTAGCTGCCTCTATGACCCCTTTTGGGGGTTTTCTTGGCAAAGGTGCTGGAGTAGTTTGCCATTTCCTTCTCCAGATCATTTTATAGATCAGGAAATTGAGGCCAATTGGGTTAATTGACTTGTCTAGGGTCACACAGCTAATAAGGGTTTGAGGCCAGATTTGAACTCAGGAAGATGAGTCTTCTTGACTCCAGGCCTCATCCACTATCTATCCACTGTGTCACTTAGCTGCCCCAATTTTACTTAGGCACTAATTTTATTTTACTTATGTACTAACAGGAAAAGAACGCTAGTCCTTAGACAACAGACTCAGTCTGTCATCCTGATTATACTGTAAATAGCAGAACAGAAATACTTTAAAAAAAAAAAAAGAAAAAAGTCACTTGACAGTTTATATATGGTCCTTACCAAAGTACATCAAAACCACTGTTAGCTACCACCCGTGGGGGCATGTGAAGTGTATGTAAAGGATCAATTATTCCTAGGGTGGGTTTGATAGCTCTGGAGGCAATACCTAAAACATAGCAATTATAAGAATGAATTAAATGCATGAATATAATTTTTAAAAATGAAACATTTTTGTAAGAATTCTGAAAAAAATCAAAGAGATGAAATTCCTTACCTTTATGTCAAAGGGGAATGTCACATAGTGAAATTACACTGGCAAATAAAAGAGAGGTCACTCAGCCCTTTAGTTTTAGTTTTAACCACTTAAGACTAAAATGTCACACTGGGATCCAAGTATTACACTATAGAGGCTGTGCCCCATTTTAACTATGACACAGGTCACAGTGGCTGCTGCAATAAACAACTGGCTAAGCCCTCATTTTGCTAGGCCTGATGTGACAAGCCTGATGTGACACCCTGAGCCAGAGTCCAGGAAAGAAACACTTGGGCAAAATTAGACTGGTAGTGAAATGTGACTGTAGGAGTCGTTCTTTTTTGTTGTAGTTTTTGTTGTTGCTTTCTAGGGAAGGGGAAAATGTAGAAAGGAGCAAAGCACACATCACAAATACATAGTGGAATTTCTTAGCTAGGAAGATGTCTCATTGGTAGGGAGAAGATTGGCATCTCTCTACAGCTATTTGGTTACAAATAAACCAAAGTGACCTTGGATAGCTACTTATTTGTATATTTATATTGAGAAGAGAAAAAAAATGTAGATATTAATACGCTCCTCTTTATTTTTCTTATATCAGGATTTTATTTCTAAAGAAATTTTGGAAAGCAAGAGAGATGATAAAGCCAAGACTTACTGATAACTTACGGACGTTAATGTTCTTACCAGTTTTTACTTTTAAGTGCTCGTAGTCAAAAATGGCAACCCCTGTAGTCTCACTCCCAGTTCCAGCTGTAGTTGGGACTAGAACAAGAGAGTATCACTATCAGAATGCAACTCTACAAGGGCTTATGGAAACATTTAATCCAGCCTCAGAAAACAAGGGACAAAATGACATGGCAGCAGGTCAGCTCTCCTGACCTCCCTCATTCATTCACGTTAACAAAGCCTGTATTAGTTAGTGGAGGTGCATTATGGGAAGCTCCGGAGTCTTTCACACCAGTGCGCCAACAGCCACAGCTGTTCACTCGCAAGCTGCTCAGCATCCCTCATGAAAAAACTCAAATTTAGTCTTTCTGAAAGGCATCTCCTCTGGCAACAAGCATGACAATGTTCTGCTTTTGCTATGCTTCACGGTTCTGGACATCCTGTCAAGGTTTTAAACTTTACTAATCACCCCTCTGTGTGATGCTGACACAGTTTTCACCAGGGGGTGCCATTTGCCAGACATCAATTATCCTTCTTCCTGCTGATACCTAATTCATGTCAAAACACTTCGTTTGTCATCAACGGAATCCCACCACACATCACATCACAATGCTCCTTCACAATAGGCAATGGGCTGGGGGTGGAGGTAGGAAGGACTGTTTTTAAGTGTAGATGTAAACATTTCAGCTAAAAAACGCCATAATATTGATAAGCTGCCCATAAAAATAGGAAGGGGAGAATGGCATAAAGATGCTAAAGTATTATGTGACTAGAGAGAAACCACTGTCAATTGCATTTGCATGTCCATGAAGAAACGGTAGCAGATGCAATTCACAGCGGCTCCCATAATGTAGCTGATGGTACCCACATGTCACTGCAGACAGACAAAGCATGAGGGCAGCTGAATGGTAGATCATATGGGAGAAAGAGTTAGGCCAACAGCAGAAAAAACAACGAATGGTACCCTTTACCACCTCAGTAGCCAGTAAGATGGATAAAGACAGAGAGAGGTTAACAGCCAACAGGAATAAAATAATCGGTGTCCAAAAGCATAAACTTATTTGGTAGAACGGCATGGCATTGGGTAAAGAATTATCCTTCCCATATGGCTACTACTTTATGATTTAAATTTAGGGATTCTTCCATCCACAAGTTTTCTTCATTTGTGGAATAATAAAGATCGTAGAAATCAGGCTCTAATATTTAATAATACCCATTTGTTTTCATCACTAAGCTGTCAAAATCCTGAAGTGAAGTCAAAACAAGGATCATCCTCATGAACTGTCTTTTAGGAAATTGGCATTCTTAAATTCTGGATTAAATAACGAGGTATGATTCCCTTCTCCCTCCCCCCAATGCATTGAAGGTGAGGAGGTTAAGCAAAAGGTGTGCTTTACCTGCAATCAGTGGCTTAAGAGTCACAGTGACAGGTTTTCCTTTTCCGATGGGATCATTGACATAATCTAAGAAATCACCATCAGGGCTGGATGCATACAGGTTGGCAGCTTTACAAGTGTCTATGGTAGAGCCACCCCCCACAGCAACATAGGCATCAAATGCTCCTCTTTTGGCAAATTCAATAGCTTCCACGAAGCTTGGAGGAGAAAAAAGAATCTTGTCATCTTTCATCAGAAATCGGTGTTCTTATTATTAAATGCTTCTGTTTAAGGACAAGTATTTATTACATGCTTGCTATGTTTCGGGCATTGTGATATCTGCTGAGGAGACAATGACCAGGATGAAACAGTTTCTGACCTTGACAAGTTTACATTCTACTTCAGGGAAATAACATGGAGAGGCAATATGGTGTAGTGGAAAGAACACTGGACTTGGAATCAGAAAGACCTCGGTTCAAATCCCATTAGCTGTGGGTCCCTGGGCAAATTAGTTAACCTTTCTGTGCCTGTTTCCTCATCTATAAAATGAAGGAATTGAAATAGAAGTCCCTTTGAGCTCTAAAGCTGCAATCCTACAGACATGCACACAGAAGTTACATGGTAAAGAGTTTACAGAAAATAGAAATGCAGTAATAAGATGATGGGGAACACTAACCTAGGGTCCCTTGCAAATGTTAAGCAATAAGAGTGTGTATTTGCTATCAGTTGAGGGAGACAAAATTCTCCCCATATTTCACCCCTCCTCCCAGAATTACCTTTTATCAGTTGGTTCCACCCTGACGTTATCGTAAACTTTAAAGTTTATGCCATTCTTTGTTAAGGAATTCATGACTACTTCTACTGGTGGCAGCTGGGAAAGGTTCTTATCTGTCATCAAACAAACATTTTTAGCACCCATATTCTGAAGGTCCTATAACACAAAAAAATAATAATTCTGAAGTGATAGCTGGATTTGTTAGAACCACGGCTCTCTTAACAGGTAAATTTGAACAATTCAATTCCTAGAATGTCATTTTTTTCTAGTTATCACCAATTATTATTATTATTATTTTCAATGAATGCCTATAAAATAAAATGTAGACTCTTAAATACTTACCATGCCTACTTCTTTTGTCACTCCTGCCCCATATCTAATATTTGAAACTGCCATCTGTAAGAAAAAAGTGCAGTTGTGACAATACGATACATGTGTAAATGTGTATGATGATGATGATAAGGATTTAATGTAAAAGCTTTAACATAAAGTTCCCATCTGCCATCCCCTCTTCCCTCACAATATTACTATTACAAATAGTAATTAATAATTACTAATAGGCTATTAAAATAGTAGTCTCAATATGGAAATGTTTTACATGATTGCATATATGTAACCTATATATGATTGCTTATCATCTTGGAAAGGGGAGAGGAGGAACTTTAAAACTTTAAAAAACTTTTTAAAAATGTCAAAAATTATTTTAACATGTAATTGGGAGAATACACACACACACACACACACACACACACACATACACACACACACACAGAGAAAAGAGTAGTCTCACCCTGCCTTCAGCTTTTTCCAGTCTATCCTTCACATAGTTCCAAAATAAACTTCCTAAAGCACAGTTCTGATTATATTACACACTGCTCTGCTCAAAAATCTTTATGCCTATAGCATAATCCCTACTGCCTATAGCATAAAATGCAAACTTCTTGGTGTGGAATTTAAGACCTTTCACAATCTAGTTCCAACCTACTTTTCCATCTTATTTCCTATTGCTCCCCGCTGTGCACTCTATGTTCTAGTTGATCAGCTAGACATTTTGTCTCTCGTTTTCATTTCCTGTTGCCTAGAATGCATTTCACCTCTGCCTTTTCATTATTTATTTACCTGAACTCTTTATTCCTTTAAGGTTTTCTTTTTAAAGGCAATTGGGGTCAACTGACTTGTCCAGGGTCACACAGCTAGTCTGTGTCAAGTGTTTGGTCTGAGGCTGCATTTGAACTCAGATCCTCCTGAGTTCAGGCCCAGTGCTCTATCCACTGTACCACCTAGCTCCCCCAAGGTTTTTTTAAGCATATGTTTTTCAAGGAGCCTCTGATCTGCTTCCCTTCCCCAAGTAAACATGTCCTCCCTTCCCCCCTCAAATTTTTCTAGTGTCCTTTTGGCGGGTCATTCTTCCATCATACTCTTTTACTTATCTGTGTACATGTTATTTCCTGCCTAGGAGAATACGAACTCTTGTGAGGGTAGAAACATTTTTTGGGGGGGGAGGTGAGGCAACTGGGGTTAAGTGACTTGCCCAGGGTCACACAGCTAGCAAGTATCAAGTGTTTGAGGTCACATTTGAACTCTGGTCCTCCTGACTTGTGCCACCTAGTGGCAACAATGAATAACTTTTCATACTTGTATTTGCTTAGCTAGCACTGGGGCTTTGCACATAGCAGGCTCTTGGTAAATGCTTGTTGAACAGGACTGAACCTATGACATATTTAGTCTCACAGTATTAGCTGAATATCTATGGAACTGTAATCTTTTCATGTCTGTATGACAGAACAGAAGGCTTCTAGACATTTGTTATCTGTTACATAGAGCTTCAAGAATTTGCAAAGTGCTTTATACATGCTATTTCATTTGGTTTTCATAATAATGCTCTGCTGCAACTGAGGCAGAGAGAAATTTAGGTGACTTCCCCAATGTCATACAGCTAGTATCTGAGGCAAAATTTGAACACAGGTCTTCCTGACTATAGGTCTGACACTCTATTCTCATACCACTTTGCTGCCTCACAAGAGATATCTATGCTAACATTATACCCTGAATGTACTTTGTACTAGAAAGGGTCCCTACAATTACAATGAGTTTATTTCAGTCTAATTATTAGCTTTGAAAATATAAATATTTTATGATTACAGTAATTATAACCTTAAAAAATCACTGCCTAGCTAGGTTGCACAGTGGATTGAGTGCCCAGAGTTGGGGAGATCTGAGTTCGAATTTGACCTCAGACACCTACTGGGTGTGTGATTCTGGGTAAGTCACTTAATCTCTGTGTGCCTCAGTTTCCTGATCTATAAAATGGGGATAATCATAGCAACTCCCATGTCTGTTGTGAAGATCAAATGAGATAATAATTGTAAAGTGTTTAGCCATTGTAGATTACATGAATACTATTATGTTTTTATTTTTTTTTTTATTAGAAGTGATATTGGTCTCTGTGGTGGCCTTGCAAACAAATGTGTGAAGACAAGCTCAGCCAAGTTTGAAGAGGCTCATTTACCAGGTTGGCAGCAGGGTGATCATGATTTTTTATTTTTTTGCTATAGCCATTATAAATACAATCTACTAAGTTGTAGAGGTTGCTATATCTGTCACAATGATGACTTTACAAATGCCTGAACTAATGAAGCAAACTTTAAAAAGACACCAGATAAACTAAGTATTGTTTTCTCTGATCACTCATAAGAAAGATTAAGTTGTTTTCTACCTCAAATGCATAATCTGTTGTTTTCTCAGAAGCAGGAAGTCCAGGAGCTGGAAGAGAAGTTGAATGATGAAAATCAGCATCAAAGTGGGCCTCAACAAAAAAATCGATGCAAGTTTCCAAACATTTAAGTTGGCCTTATGTGAATCCCTCTTTTTTTTTTAAAGAAAATGTTGTGTCAAGTTTCACTCTTGCAATTCTAATTAAATTTAAAATACATTTGTTTAAGTTTACCCTGTAGCCCTAGACTGATGCTGTTGGAGGCATGGCTCTAATGCCAACATTCTCTTAGTTCATGTTCGTTTTGGGAAGGCAGTCAGAAGTCATTTAACACTTGAAAGAGGAGGCTTACTTTGCCCTAACACAGCAAAGACACAAACAAGGATACAGTGACCCGCTTCGCTTCCTTCTTTGGATAAGGCCCAACCCTATTTCTATATGGAAATGCACTGGTCAGTAGGTCATCAGGGTATGGCGACTCATGTGCTCTTAAGCACCCACTGAGTCCCACGTGGCTGGGACTTTTTTTAGCCCTTAGATGATCACTTCCCAAAGACAGTTGTGTCTTCTTTTAGATAAAATCTCCCCTTGGTGTGGGTGGGAGGAAAGAAGCTATGTCCAAGAAGATGCCAATTACAGATGCTTATTTTGAAAATGAATAGAATGATTTTAAATCTTCTTCATTGGATATGTTATTAACCATGCAACTTAAAAACATGTCAAAGATTATACCCTAGGTAAAATGAATTGATATAGCCAGCCTAAGTAATGAATAAACAAACACCTTATACAAATGTTATAGCTCAAGCCCCATCTCAGATTAATGTAGGATTAACATCCTTAGTTACTGGGATGAAGACTCATTATTAAACTTCTGGGAGAACTGGAGAAACAGTAGAAATTAGGTTTTGGCAAACATCTCAAACTGTAGGCCAAGATAAACTCCAAATGTGTACATGACTTAAAAATAAAATGTAACATCATAAACAAATTAGAGGAGCAAGGGGAAAAATACCTTTCAGATCTATTGCTAGGGTAAGAGTCTGTGACCAAATAGAGATAGAAGATCCCTCAAAATAAAATGGACAATAATGATTATATAAAATTTGAAAGGTTTTTTTGCACAAACAAAACCAATACAGCTAATATTAGAAGGGAAGCAGGTAGGGGCAACTAGGTGGCATAGTAGATTGAGCACCAGCCCCAAAGTCAGCAGGACCTGAGTTCAAATCCGGCCTCACCAAACACTTGACATGTACTAGCTGTGTGACCTTGCACAAGTCACTTAACTCTGATTGCCTCACCAAAAAAAAAAAAAAAGAGATGGGTAACGGGAGAAAAACATCTCTGTAGCAAGTTTCTCTGACAAGGATCTAATTTATTATTTTTAATGACCTTAATAATAGTTATCATTTATATGGTACCTTCAGGTTTGCAAAACACTACAAATCTTACTCATTTTATCCTCTAACAACTCTGGAATATAAGTACTATTATTATCCCCATTTTACAAATGAAAAAATTGTGGCAGAGGTTAAATGACTTATTTATTCAAAGCCACATAGTTAGTAAGTGTGAGATACAGGATTTAAACTCGGTCTCCTCAACTCCAGGTCCAGAATTCTATCCACTGTACTACCTTTCCACTTGAATGTATGAGTTTGAGTCATTCCCTAGTTCCCAAATGGTCAAAGGGTAAGAACAGGTAGTTTTCAAAGGAAGAAATTTAAGCTATAGTCATAATTCTCTAAGCTACAAATATTCAACAGGTGCCAATCTGCATTGATTGAGGATATTTCCTATTTAGAAATTTCCCGAATCAATGAAATCACAGGTCTAGTCCTCCAATGAATGATGGTGATGATCATGATGATGGTGATGACTAGACCTGTGATTTCATTGGGAGCTCTGGGTAAGGAACTTCTATCAGTACAGATTGGCACCTTTTTGGTAACTTCTAGTCTTCAGATAATTGTCTAGGGCACTAAATTCTAATAGTTTCTACTATAATACCTTTTCCACTAAGGTCTCACTCTGATGCTTTATCTTGGGGGGTGGGGAAGGTGACCCTGGGTTCTCAAAGGCCATGCCAGTAAAGTGTGAGCTCTGGTTAGACCTGTCAAGTTAGAAAGACTTTGAGTAGGGGCCTGGGTGATAATCTGAGAACCAGCCTGTCTAAATTGGTAGAGCTTCATCACCAAGTTGGCAGCAGGATGAAGAAATTTTTTTTAGCATTAGCAGCTCTGGAAGCCCATTTACTAAACTGTGGACATGATACACTCTGTATCAGTGAAGGGTGTGCCCATCCTCAGGAAATCCAATGCTTTGAAGCATTTAAGTGTAACAGCTTCTACTGTAAATACACAATTAGCCAATCTGGTCTGTAGTTTTAATGGACAAAGATTTGTAGAACAATATTGGTTACACTTTTATAGCTTCTTGTTGTTGTTGTTTGTCCTTCATTCTCAAAGCAGACTATGACATCAGGAAGATGATGCTATGACTTGCAAGTGAATTGGATTTAAGTGACGGAGGGCTGTGCAAGGTCACCAGCCTCATTTTCTCCTCGGCAGCCATTTGAGTCCAGTGGCCAGATATGGATCAGGATGACTGAAGATGGAGCTGACTTTGAAGCTTTTTAAACTGGTGTTTTTTTCCCTTTTTTTTATGGAGGAGATGCTAGACCTGCAATTTCTTCAGGAGGAAGACTCAGTTGATGTACAATTTGCCTATAACTTATGGCCTTAATAAACTGTCTGAAACACCGAAAGGTTGTGACTTGCTAACGGTTATATCCTACAGTACTTGATCATGTCAGAAGCAGAATTTGGACTCAGGTTCCAGGTTTTCCTGATGCTAATACCGGCCTTCTAGCCACAATACCACACTTCCTCTATTACATTTCCCCCTTCAGAAAAATTAGGGCACAACAGAAGCTGAATCCTTAATGTCTCTCTAAGAGTTGATTCAATATTTTGAAGTGGGAATCAAGTGATCCTTTGTTAATTCTTACCAATAGTTAGAAGAAAATAATTGTGAAAAAGAAAAGACCTCTATACTTTTCAGGAGGCCCTAATGACTGAGTCATTCCTCGGCCTGACAGAAGAGCTAAAATCGGGATTCTGAATTAATGAATCAAGCTATGAGAATGAGCTCCAAATTCTTTGGAGTTAAGCTTGGAATGCTGAGCCACTAGATCAAGATGGAAATGCGCTAGTACGTCTTCCTCTTTGTGCCCCTCCTTTACAAACTTCTCCGTTGTTTTCAGCTGTGGGTTTCATGCTGTTAGGCGCCTTCCTTACCACCCCTTGTCATGTTGCTTGGGTTTGACCTTTCTTTCTAGGGCCTAAATCAGTTTTTGTACTACTAATTAATATGACATTTGATGGACATGCTGATGTTACAATGGGTATCCCGCTGGTCTGTTGGACAATGGACATTGTGAGGACAATGGACTTTGTAAAGGTTTAAGACTTTGTGGGAACAGGAAATTCTTACTTTATTTCAGAATTTTGGAGAAATGCAGTGTTATTTTAAAAACATGCAATATCATTTGATAAAAATCTTTAGTATCTTTTTCTTAGACAAGCCACTCTTGACTTTAGCTTCCTTTTCTGACTTCTATCAGAAGAAAATGTCATCTTGAATAAAACCCCTTTTTGATGAATTCAGCCCGAAGTTCAAATTCTATCTGAGCCACCATTTTCAGATCTGGCCAATCACTAATGTACACAGTCCTGTGTATATCACTTCTATCAAGAGTGAAACATTGTAAAAGTATATACTTAATACCTATCCTTAACCAGCATCATACACCAAGCTACAACTATTTACTAACATAATTCAGGGGTGTAAAACTATTACCAATTTTATAGGTACAGGCCATTTAACCTTTTATGTTCACAGACCCTTGGCCTCCCTCTTAAAGTTATATTTATTTTCTTGCTTTGCTCTTTGTCCTAATTTATAGCAAACTTGGTTTGCAGAGATTCAAATTGTAGCTATTTTAAATATAAAATACATTACCTTGGGAATAAGTGTGAGAATGAGTTGGACACTGGCATCTAAGGAAAAAGAAAAGAAGAAAGATTTATTTAAGGAAAACCTGCAAATCAGAAGTTAAGATACTTGATCATGGCAGTAATTGTTCTATTATATTCCACTGCCCAAATTCTATAAAATGAAAGATGGGTAATGAATGGCTATTTGTCAATAAAGCATAAATATATCTAGGGATCACTGTGGATAGCAAGTGGATGATCTCTGTAGCTACAGATGGATAGGGGCTAGATCATTTATTCATTCTCTCATTATGCACATTTATTTAACAAGTATTTACTTAGTACATATTATCCTGGAGATACAGTACCTAATATAATAAATATTCAGTAAATATTTGTATAATCTGACCCAACTGATAAGTATCTATCCCTTCTACAGTGGGAGGCTGGAGCCCTGAGTTCAAATCCCATCTTTAATGATGACCACTTACTATCCTATGGCTTTAATTTCCCCATCTGTAAAATGGTAGGGTTGGATTAGATGACTTCTGAGGTCCTTCCAGTTCTAAGCCCTTTTCAAGACCGACCCCTCCATCTATGCTCTCCATCTTATTCCCTCCCACATCTTCTAGGAATTTGTTTCCTAAATTCTTCTCATTCTCTTAAATCTTCAGTCTTTATTTCTCACGAACTCTTTCCCCTTATGCCTTTAAATCAGAACAGATCTTCCTTGTTAAAAACAAAAACCTTAACTTGACTCTACTCTTCTCTTAAGTGAATGTCCCTTTTGTTTCCTTCCTTTGACTTCCAAATTTCTGCAAAAAGTGGTCTGCCTCTTCTTCATTTATTTATTTTTCCCCACTTAATAGTATTTTATTTTGTCCAATTACATGTAAAGATAGTTTGCAACATTCACTTTTATAGGATTTTGAGTTCCAAATTTTTTTCTCCCTCCTTCCCTCCTCTCCTCTCTCCCGATGGCAAGCAATCTGATATAGGCTACATGTGTACATATTAAACATATTTCCACAAGGGGTCTACCTCTTCTTTCATTTCCTCACCACCTATTTATCTCCTGAAAGCCACGCAGCCTGGCTTCTGTCCCCATCACCCTGGTGGAATCTCATCACCCTAGTGAAACTACCTTCTTGACAGTGACTAAGTTAACTATATCCAGTGACCTTTTACTCATTCTCCATTCTCTATTCTTCTATAGAGTTAGCACATATGCATCCCTCCCCAACCCCTTTGGAAACTAGTCTCTCTTAGCTTCCAGAACTCTAATATTATGGTTCTTCTAATTCTCTGGCCGCTCTTCCTGTCATTTAAATAGCAAGAGTTCATCTTATACAGTATTTTAAGGTTTATAGAGTTCTTTTTATTATCTCAGAGGCCAATTCTTATTCTTCTGGGCAATCACTAGAGTATCTACCACAAGGACTTGTACTTGGTATATTGCTGAGTGGTTCAAATAATCGGAATGGTAGAGCTGGCGTGAATCATGAATGCTCATGGAATGGCAACATGTTTTTATAATAAATCAAGACTGCCACCTAGTGTTTTGAATGGTGAAACATCAATTTATTTTATTTAATTAAGTAAACATAATGGACCTCTTTGGAAACAAAAGTAAAAGATCTTGATGACTCAACTATTCACAGTCAATACTTTTCCTCCTCTCTTGGTTTTCATGGCATTGCCCACTTAAGTGGTCATCTGAATTTCCACCAGAAGAAAGATGAGGACAAAATCCGAACTCATCACTTTTCAGCCTGAATGCGTTTCCCCATTAGTTACACTATTAGGATCCATCCTAGTCCTAGCGTGGTAAGGTAGCTCACAGGGCCATCTAGTTTGATCTTGTCATTTTATAGATGAAGAACCCAAGTCCCAGGGACATTAAGTGATTGGCCTGAGGCCACATGAGAGGTGGGATGTGAAATAAAGTCTTCTGACTACAGCCAGCACTCTTTCCATTGAGCCAGGCTGCTATGTTTAGATTTTCTTTCCATCTTCTTTCCTCTTTTGCCTTTCTGTCATAGGGCTTGCCTCAACTGAAAGCTTTTTTTTTTTTTAACCTTCCTGAGTATTTCTATTGTATTCCTCTACTGCTTTTCCTCCCCCTCTTTTTCATGTTTCAAAATGTTGTTGTTCATCCTTCATTTTCTAAGAGGAACAATGTTTCAACTAAGGAAAGGATGGTGAGAATGTCCTCCTTTATAGGATGGCCTGAAATGATTTCCCTAATTTTTTACTAGATTGCTGTTGTTATGCAGTCATTCAACAATGTCTGACTCTTTGTGACCCAAAGACCTTAGAATAACAAGCCCCTTCTACTATCTCTGAGTCTGTCCAAGCTCATGTTCATTGCTTTCACAACACCATCTATTCATCTCATTCTCTGCCATCCCTATTTCCTACTGCTTTTGATCCTTCTCAACAACAAGGGCTTTTCCAATGAGTTCTTCTCACCATGTGGCCAAAGTACTCAAGCTTCAGCTTCAGTATTTGACCTTCCAGTGAATAGTTTGAGTTAATTTCTTTAAATTTTGACTGATTTGGTCTCCTTGATGTCCAAGGGACTCTCAAAAGTCTTCTCCAACACTACAGTTTGAAAGCGTTGATTCTACAGCACTTAGCTTTCCTTAAAGTCCAACTCACAGCCATACATTTCTACCAGAAAAATGATAGCTCTGACTATATCTTACATTCCAGGTTCTTAGTAGCTTGGATCTATAGTTAAAATACTCAACTTATTTCTCAAATTCTAAGCATTAGCAATAACTATAAGGACTGGATCTGAGATTTCATTGGCATAGGGAACTTCCAAGTGAGGAAACTCCCTCCAACAATGAAGACTGGCACTTCATCTTAACTATATATAGTCTTAGAAAGTTGCCTAGAACACTGAGAAGTTTAGGGACTTGCCCAGCCAGTATATATCAGGATAAGACTTGAACCCAGGTCTTTCTGACTCTGAGGTAGCTCTTTACTATGTGATGCTGCCTCTCGATAAGTATATATGAGCTGAACTATCCAAACGACATATTATTAACAACAAATATGAAGGAGAAACGTGGGCATAAAGCAGGATATCAGATCAACAATGGGAAACACATACCTATCAGGAGTAAGAACTGGAATTTTGTGTTTTAAGATGACATCATGATATTTCCCTCCACTCTCCCCAATACTTGACAAACTATTGTCAGAACTACTGAATATTAGCCAGAAAGGACCTTAGAGGATCTAGTCTAAGACATTCATTTTGGAGATGATAAAACTGAAACCCACAAAGATAAGTGATTTTGGCTAGTATTCACACTAGCCAAATTGTTTGAATCAGGCTGTTGACATTTGCATTTATTATTATTATTTAAATAGGGGTTGAGAGATACAGTCCTTGAGGTTGTATACGTTGCATAACATTCAGGGAATTCCTTCTTTCATTTATTAAGCACTTAGTATATGCTGGTCAAAAAGTGGGGCAGTGAAGCTAAACAAAGACTACCCCCCCCAAGTCCCTGCCCTCAGGGAGCTTACATTCTATTGAGCGAAAGAAGGTATATAGATAAGTTAAAAAACAACAACAACAACAACAAAGTAATTTCAGAAAAAAAGGCATTAGCCATGGGAAAGGAAATCACTGGGCAAGGCCTTTAACCTCTCATTACTTCAGTTTTTTCATCTGCAAAACAAAAATAACTGTCTTTGCACTAGGTACCTTGCAGGAATCCATCTTTTTTCCATTCATTTTTGGACAAGGCTGAAATTATGCTGAACCAAGTATTATTAATGGAAGAATCTGTTTCAGGAAACTTTCCCCCCCCAAATCTTGAAGTGCTATAAAAATTTGAGTTATTACTATAATATTCAAATACACAAATGGATGTTATCTATTTTGTTATCTATTCCTCCAAAGATGCAGACTGAAACTCATCCGCATCTATTTATGCTGTTCAACTTTTCTCCCTGTCCATCCATAACTTCAATATTCAACCTGCTGAAAGCTTTCGTCACTTAACTCATGAAATCTGGCTGTCCATATGTTAATCCATCATGGTTGTTACAAAAGAGGAAAATGAGGCCTAGAGAGGTTAAGTGACTAAGAATTGTGGAATACTAAAGCTGGAAGGGAAAGGGCTTTGGAGATCATCTGGGACAAACTTAATTTACAGAGGCCCAGAAGGGTTCAGTTATTTAAAGTTATGGAATATTTGAGCTTTAACGTTGTAGCCTTAGAGAGAGATGGTCTACAATGGAGTCCAGTCCCCATGAGTATATAGAGAGGAGAGAATTTAGCTTTATTCCTCCTTTCCTAACACTACCCCCTCACCAATACCAAAGAAAACGTAATAGTCCTGCCTTTTGAACAATAAACTCTAAATCAGAGTTCAGCCTCATGCCTGCCCAGCTGGGACCTTAGAGGAGGCAGGCTGAGCCCAGGACCCTAGTGCGATGGCAAATGGGAATAGGAAGAGGCTTCGCTGGACGATGCAAGGAGGGGTAGAGTCTGGGGCCACCCCAGCTCCATCTCCTAGGGCTGTCCGGGGGCCGCTGGGTCTCTTAGTTGCCTAGCAGGTGGCCCGTCCCCACCCAGAGCTCTCCCCAGGCTCGGTCGGGATCCCGGAGGCCTGCCCCAAAGCTGGGCCCGAGAAGGGGGCTAATGCACTCACGCCGCGCGTTGCAGCTGCCTCAGCAAGTGAACGACCCTGTCCCTGCCCGCTGCGGCCATGGCTGCCCAGGAGAGCTCTCAGCTGGCAAGCAGGGCACTGACAGACAGACAGACAGACAGACAGACAGAAGCTGCGTAGGTGCTGCAGGGAAGCCGCCAGCTCAGAGGCGGAGCCAGCCTGAGCCTCGCCTACTGACCAGCCCTCCATCCTCCCCCCGGTCCCCTCCCCTTCGCCCTACCCCCTACATTTCTGCCCTTTGCCTCTGAACCTGGGGCAAGCGGGCTGGCCATGCACCTGCCCCTTACAGGAGGTGAAATTTCCTCCCCATTCCCTTCCCTTCTCCCCAGCTGCAAGTCACCAGCAGAGCCACTTTTTTTGGTGATCCAGCTTGAAGTTCAAGGGGGAAAGTCCCTGCCTCCAGCTATTTATTGACACAACTACCTCAATTCCTCCGCCCACTGCTCATTCCATCCTCTGGCAGACGAGAAGAAAATCCAGGGAGACTTGACCTTTGTGGTTCACTGTCATTTCTTTGGATTAAGTATTAAAAAGGCCACTTCAGACTGCATTTAAGCACCTAACATATTAATGCAAACTAAACCCCCTTTCCTCCAAAAACTTTTGAGTTAAAAAAGAGGGGGAGGGAGAAATCTTAGTGGTTGAGGTTGCCCAGGGGGAAGGGAGGGAAAGAGGGAAAGAGTCTAGTCTCTGGACTTCAGTTTTTTCCTCTGTAAAATGAGAGGGTTGGCTTAGATGATCTATCTCTAAGACCCTCTTCCCTTACAGCTATCCTGTTCTATGATTGTAGGCCACTGAACCTTCCTGGGACTCAGTTTCCTCCTCTGTTAAAAAAAGGGGGGCAGAGGGGAGGAGTCGGGGGAAAAAGCTCTTTCCTTTTTATATTCCAGTAGCAGGAACTGTTCCTTCTAGGCCCTAGGCTCTGCCCTCAGAGAGTTTAAGTTCTAACGGAGGAAAACAACATGTATAAAGATAAGTATATAACTAATACATGCCAAAAAATACAAAGTAATTTTAGGTGCGGTCTAAAGTTCCACTTCTGCAAGAAGCCTTTCCTTGATTTATTATCTTCCTTCAGATTATTTTCCTTTTTACGCCATACACTTCTTGTTTGTACATTGCTGCTCGAATACTGTCACCCCTCAGATTGTGAGCTCCTTGAGAGCAGAGGGACTGGGCTGTTTTTTGTATTGCCAGCTCTCAGTTCAATGCCTGGCACATACAGTACAATAGGATCTTTGTTCTTCATGCTTGAAGAGGACCAAAATGACATCACTATCTTGGGGTCAAAGTACAGTGTATCCAACTGTAGCTGATCAGACCAATAAGGGGTTGGAAGGCTCTGCCACAGGTCAGGCACAGATAGCCTGACACATAGTAGGCGATTAACAGATGTTTGTTGACTGACTGGGAAGGGGGATGCACCAGTAACAAGGGGAATAAGGAAAGATCTCTTGAAAGCCCCCGAGCATCTAGGGATCCCATGAGGCAGAAGTGAGTGAGGAAAATAAACAGCGGGCAACAACAGCCTGGACAAAGGTCAAGAGGTGGGAGACAGACAAGACGTTCTACGTACAAGAAACAACACTAAGTGGACTGATCTGGGTGGAAAGTAGAGTGTGTGAGGAAGAATATTTGATGAGAAGTCTAAGATGGAGCCACATCACATTGTTGTTCAGTCATTTCAGTTGTGTCCAATCCTTCATGACCCTATTGGGGGTTTTCTTGGCAAAGATACTGGAGTGTTTTGCCATTTTCTTCTCCAGCTCATTTTACTTTATTTTTGCTTTTTTGCTGAGGCAATCACGGTTAAGTGACTTGCCCAGGGTCACATAGCTAGTAAGTGTCAAGTGTTTGTGGCTGGATTTGAACTCAGATCCTCCTGACTTCAAGGTCAGAGCTCTATTCACTGTGCCACCTAGCTGCCCCATCCAGCTCATTTTAAACAGAAGAGGAAACCAAGGCAAACAGCGTTAAGTGACTTGCTCAGAGTCACAAGCTAATAAGTGTCTGTGGCCAGATTTAAACTCAGATCTTTCTGACTCCAGGCCTGACACTCCATCCACCTTGATGAATTTTAAATGCCAGATTGAGAAATATGTATTTTGTCTTAAAGGCAATAGGAGCTACCAAAACTTCTTGAGCAAGAGAATGTCATGGTTACACCCTTGCTAGCAGTATATTCTACAAAGTAGGCTCTTATTATTTTAAAATTAATTCTCATTTTCCTCTCTGCTACCTTTAATTTTTCCACTTTAACAAAAATTTCTTCTGCAATCCTATTACTGACTTATATTGGCAGGAGGTTGAGACTAGGCAAAATAGTTTAGTATAACAGAGGAAACAGTCTGGGGAAAGTCCTTTGCAAAGCTTAAAGTGCTACAAAAACTTGAGTCATATTAAAAAGCAAATTAATCTGTGAGGTCAAGTTGGATGCAGACAGAAACCCATTCACATCTATTCATTCTACGCCACCCTGGCTTCTTTAGGCTATATATCCAATGAATATGAACTCTAGCAGGTACTACAGGATAAGAAAAGCTTTGTACAGCCATCCAAGGGTGCTATTTCTGGACCTAAGGGTGAAGAAACTTATCATTAGAATTAGTCACCAAATAGCAAATTTTTTGGTTCATAGCAACTCATGAAGATCACCTATCAACAAACAGAGCACTTATTTGTGTTGGTGGAGGAAGTAAAAATGAAATCAAATCTCTTCCCCCAACGTAACAAAAACTCAAGTGTTTTCAGCTAATAGCTGACATTTCTATAGCGTTTAATACTGGATCCTCATAGCAACCTTATAGTAATGTAGGGATTATTCCTATTTTGCAGATTAAAAAAAAAAGAGAAATAGTGACTTGTCCATGGTAACATACAGCTCATGTCAGACTGTAGCTATAATCAGGTGTTTGTTGATTCCAGATCCTATGCTCTTATCTCTGCACCACATTGCTTAGAGATAAATATGACACTAGATTTTAGTCTCTCATGCAGCCCCTTTGAAAAACTGTCTGCAAGCTTTTTTGGTTGTTTTAATTACGCTTTCTCAATTGCTTGGTTATAGTTGGTTCACTAAGCATGTTATTTCCAGGGCTAAGAGAAAGAAACTCCCTTAAAAGCCCTGGAAAGCTACCTACAAAGAGCCAGATGTCAAATGCTTGGCAAGCAGGCTGACTTGTCACTCTGGGGAATTTGATTTCCTAATTAAATGGCTCTGGTAAGGGTTGAAAGCTTCTTAAGTTAAAACAAACTCTTGAAAGGCCTAGAATGCTGCCCTTCCCATAGCAGGCCCTCATGTTCACAGATGGCTTAAAATAGTGTACTATACTGAAGAGAGTACTAGACTTGGAGCCGCTTTTAAGTTCAAATCCAATTCCACCACTTAGTAGCTATTTCAGTAGGTAACTTGATTAGTCACCTCTTCTTTCCAGTTCCATTTCCTCATTTATAAAATGACAGTGGTGAGACAGTGGTGATGGTTTACACTAACTGATCTCTAGGGTCCCTTTCAATTAGGCAAATTTTACTTGACTAGAATGTAAAAGGGAATATGAACATTAAGTTTAACATTTAAAGCTGTAGCCCTGGGTTCAGAGTTAGAGGACCTGGGCACTAATACTTGTGACTCTGGACTAAGCTTTTAACCTTTGAGTCAATGTCTTCACCCATGAACTGAGAGAACTGGCCCTAATGACATCTAAGTTACATTTTAAGTAGTATTGCATTTGGAATCTCAAAAACTTTTCTATTGTGCAGTCATGTAATTTTTGCTAATTTTCTTGGTGGGGGAGGGAGGAAAAGTATCTACAATTTTACCAGATTTCAGAGCTTCTGTTGAGGAAATTCCTTTTGCTGCTGCCAAGAAGTGGTCTGTGAGCACTGAAAAGTTAAGTGACTTAGGCATGGTCACATAGCACATAAATGGAATTTGAACTCGGGTCTTCCTGATTTCAAAGCCATTCCTCAACCCAGGGAGCAACATTGCCTCTACTATCTTGTATTCATACCATTCTATGGTACTTACAAAGGTAACATTATTACAAAAGAACAAACCATTGAACCTGAACTGGAAAAGGCCTTAGAGGTGGTTTCTAGTGCAGGCCTTCAAGTTTGGACTACCGCAACAGTCCGCTTGTGGGTCTGCCTGTCCACTTTAGCCATTAAAGTGATTTTTCTAAAATGAAGGTCCAGTTATGTTAGCTCCTCCTTCCCCTTCAACTTAATAAACTCCAGTGGCTTCCTATTTCATCCAAAAGCAAACAGAAAATGCTGTTTGGCATTTAAAGTCCTTCATAACCTACACCCCTCCTTACCTTTTCAGTCTTCTCCCTGCTCCCCAACATTGGCCTCTTGGCTGTTCCACGAACAACATACTCCATCTCTGAGCATTTTCTCTCGCTGTCTCCCATTCCTGGAATGAACTCCCTCTTCTGCTCTGACTACTCAACTCCCTGGCTTCCTTGAAAGTCCCTTGAAACTAAAGACCCACTTTCTACAAGCTTTCCCCAACCCCTCTTTATTCTAGTGTTTTCCCTTTTCATTATTTCCTGTATATAGTCATTTATCCTGTACATAACTTACTTTGTATATCTGTTTGTTATCTCCCCCATTAGATTTTAAGCTCCTGGAGAGCAGAGAATGATTTTGCCTCTTTTTGTATCCTCAGTGCTTAGTACAGTGCCTGTCGCATAGCAGGCACTTAATGTTTTTTAAACTGAATCTAGCTCTAACCTGACCTTCCAGCAGAGGAAACTGAACCCCAGAGAGTTGAAGTGACTTGCCTAAAGGATCTGATCAAATTTTTCTGATTCCAAATCCAGCTCTCTTTCCATGGTACTATGCTGTGTTCAATTCGGTAACTGCCAGAGATAATGCAAATTTATTTTCAGCAAACTGGGATATTTAAAATATTCATATACTTTTACTATGGATCAATTTGAATTTTAATTTAAAAAAGTTGATAGAGGTTGACTCTGACTAGAAAATGTGAGTCTGGCAGTTTTTGAAAATAAATAATAGACAGCTCCACTGGAATATCAGGGCTTCTGACATAGTAAAAATAGGAAGGCCTTCATCATATTAAGCAAATCCTCAGAGGAAAACTTAAGGGAAAATAGGGAGAATTGCTGCTGAAAAAACATCAGGGTCATGATCT